ACTTGGCTCACACAGAAGGAAGGAGCTAGGAAAAGTAAGTATAAGAACTGTGTCCCTCCTAGTACTCCAGCTGAAGTTTGCTGGTGGAACATACCCTGTAGGATCATTTGTTACCAGAACTTACTTCAAGGAGGGGGTAGCCTCACTGGGAGGTGGGGTGTTTTGTTTTGTTTTAAATATTCTTGAAATTAAATGATGTTGATGTAAAAACTAATATGATAAACCCAATTTTAACAAACTCAAGAATGTCCCAATTCATCATTGCACGAGTATTTGAACATTGAACATCATCTATGGTATTAAGTGTTGTTTCAATATATACAGCATTGTTTGTTGTGAAGCTTGGATCTCATTACATCAATATTTTTGTGATAGGGTTTTACTTTAAGTAGAAGAAACAGAATCTTCAGGAAGATGCTAAGGAGAGACAAAAAAAAAAGAACTATATTTGTACAATACTTTGTTATAGTTGTATTCTAATAGACACTTCCTTATGCTCATCTTTTTAAAGCCCACTTCTATGAAGTAAGTGATATTATCCCTATTTTTACAGTTGAGGCAACTATGGTGTCTTGCTTTAAATTATGAATCAGTTAATGAGTAAAGGCAAACTATTCTTTCTGTAATACTCATACATACATTCCTGAGGTGTACAGCAATTTACCTTTCCCCAGGACACTGAGGTCACTGTCCTTCTGGGAAGGTTCCATGTTCAAAGCCAAAGGAAAAAAGTGCCCCTACTCAAAACTACAAAGCCAAGGAGACCCTTTTTATGATCAATTCCATTTAGCTCTGTATGTTTGCATCTAACGCTACTTTTTTTTGTGGAGGGAACTGATTTTTTGTGATTGTTTAGGTACTGATTGATTTATCAAAAGAAGATCTGATTATGGGCTTCTCACAATGGTAAGTGAGGCCCCCTTTCATTTTATCTCGTTAATCTGCTAGTCAAGCCTCAGTTGCCCATATTCTTTCTCTAAAGTTTTTCCATTTTTAGTACATTTTAGCTCCTTTGGTTATCAAGGAGGGAGGCCGATTATCACTTTTACTGCCTGCAGATCTCACTCACCTAAAGGATCTGTCAGCTCCAGCCTTAATCCTGGCCTATAAAGAGATGGGTTCTGCTGGGCCCAGGCAGGCTAGACAGTCCTGATGCTACTTCATACTAACAAGTCCAAACCCAATTGTTTTACAGGTATGAGCTCACTCCAGATGGAGAGCCCAGAAGTTGATGATGAGCAGTACTATCAACCTTTATATTAAAATGTGTACATATGTGTATATTTTATAATTTAATTCAGAACAGCCATTTGAAAATACATATACATACATTCTTGTATGAAATTTAACTGCATGATGGGATAGTATAAGAGGTAAATGTAAGTAACAGCAAGAACTACTCTCTCTTGGTTGGATTTAATTGTTCAAATCCCGAAAGAAATGGGGTATTCATGGCTAATAAATTATCAGAACCTCAGTGGTGATTTTTCACTTTTGATAGGTAATTATAGACCATCAGACGTACAACTTGCCTGAATGTGTGTCAAAAGTGCCCTGTCTCAGACATAGGGGTTGAGGAGGTCTATTCCTGTATCTGAATTGGAACTAACATGTATTTTTTCTAATGGCAACAATGATAGTGATATATATACCTAAATACCTTGAGTTAAATAGCCCAGTGTGGGATGGCCTGGGACCAAACTCCAGCATGTGGCATCATTTCCATAGGAAAATCCAAGCCGAGGGCCATTTCTCCACTCCCTTGGCAGAGCACTGGGCACTGCTGCGGAGTCAGTGCCAGAGCGCAAAAAGGGGCTTTCTGTACCCTCAGACAGGGATCTGGGCTCCACTTTTCTAAGAGACAGCTGGTTCGCCTAATAAGCAACATGTAAAAAGCAAACCATGTAAATTGTATATTTAAACAAGTGCCTCTTTTGCATTTCAAACTTTATAAAATCAAGTATTCTTGTTCTCTGATGTTCCCAGAGCTGTGAATCAAGGTCGCTTCCTCATCTCTTATCCACTCAGGCAATTCCCCCTTGCTGTCAGTTTCCTGTCCCCACCACTGCAGCTTTTCTGAATAGTAACAAAGTTTACTCACTTATAAATTATCTAGGATTTCCTCTTTTCTGTAAGGCTAAAGCCCACTTCATTATTTGCCTTTTAAACGTAATGTAATCTAGTCTACGGTTTTTTTGCTACTTTATTTATATGCAGATGCTCTATTCCAAAACAGTCCAAATATTATATCCTACCTCAAATCCACCTTGAAATGGCCTCTTCCCACCACCTATATTACTGCTAATACTTTGCGTTTTTTCATTGTAACAATTTCCTGTCTTGTAACATTTTTTTTTTAAATGTGTATTTAGGTACCTACATACTAAGCAACTACTTGAACTCTGTTTGGTATTTTATATTTCCGTTTATTCTCTCATTGAATTATATAAACTACTTGAATTGATTTTTACCTACATCGTCCAAGATCATGCTAGATATGTAATGAGATTTCTATTTTGAATGACAAGTTCTCATAATAAAACGGGGCAACTGATGCCTGTCCTGTCTACCTCACAATGGCATTGTCATGTTCACTAAGTAGACAAGGGCCTTGAAAATGGTAAAGTACCAAGGAAGTAAAAGGGAATGTATCATATATCAAATCCTGAAATTTGGCAACCCTAAAACAACTGATCAAGATGGCAGACAATGCGAAACCTGTCTTTCCTCTTCCAAACACACAGAAAACCTAGTTAAAGCATGAACATTTATTTTACACAATGGTTGATTAAAAAGTAACACAGGTAAAATTCCTAGTAGTCCAAAGAGGAAATCTAAAGCAATGTACAAGAGCTGAAGGGGTGTTTAAGTGTTGAAGAACTAGAATTATGGCACACACAACCCAGGAGGCAAGGCTACGGTGTGAGGGACAAGGAGCCGGAAAAATTTGGCATTACCAAGAAAACCACCTTGTTGTCAGCAATGGGTAAAAAACAATCAGCTACTCTCCCCTTCAGGAGCTCAGAGTCTAAAAGTTAAACATAACTGACTTGGTGTGGGAACCCCCAAAACTTTCAACTAACATGAAAACTGGTTTAGAGCCTGGGACCATGTGAAGCCCTGTAAGAGGCAACCATCCAGGGCACACGTGCACCACTGTAGCAGGTAATTTCCACTAAAGGGAAGCTCATTGGTAAAAAGGATAAAAAGCATAATTTTAAAACTATGAAGCACATAGACAGTTTAAACAAAAATGGCCAATGGGTGTATTTCAGCAAGAAGGAAAATATAACATTGTCAGAAGTGGTGTGTGGAAAACAGTGGAGAGCAAGAAATCTGTAAAATATGTTAAGTAAGCGACCAAAATTTTTTACAAAACTGGATTCAAAAACTGGCACCAAAATGCTTGTACTAACCTCTAAGAAGGGACACTCATGAGGCTGGTTCAGAGGAAAATTATTCAAATCCTTATCTTATTTAGGAAGCTAAAGATTGTTTTATACTTTTAAAATAAATTATAAATAAGTTATCAGTTACTAGTTTATCACCTCTCATCTCCAAATCAACTCTTTGTTGGGCTTCGATACTGCAGACACCACAGAGAGCACTGGGTAGGCTGCCAGGCCAGAGCAGAGGGACTTTTCTTTCTCCTGCTGATGTGCTCTTTTCCATGGCGGCTAGCAAAGTGGTTTTCATCTCCTGATTGGACACTGATTCGCAAAGTATATATTAAAAGATTTAAGATAACTAATGAAATAGAGTAACAATAGAAAAGCAACACAGCTGAAATATAAAACTTCCAAATCAACAGTGGAGACAAAAATGGTAATAATGAAAAATCAAACCCTCTCCCCACCCCTAAATAAAGAGAAAAAAAATATGATAAATAGAAAATACGAAAGACGGTCAAAAGACTTCTAATTATAATTACAATAAACCCACTATTAAAGCCTAGAATGTGAAAGTCCATGAAAATAAAAAATATAACTTCAAACACATACAAGTATTGAAAACAAAAAGGATGAAAAAGATATAGTTTAGATTTCTGTTTATAGTAATGGTAGCAAACATCACATTGAATGTTGAAACAATAAAATATTTTCTTTTGAAATTGGGAACAAGAAAGGGCCACTTCCTATCACCACTTCTACTCAGATTATATTGAAGCTTGTGTAATAAGACAAGAAAAAACAAGTGTACCTGGCCAAAACTCTTGTTATATGCAGATGATATGATCATCAGCATAAAAATCCAAAATAGTTTAAAGATTAATTGCTAAAATTAAAGTTTTTAGCAAGGTTACTAAAAAGAATACAAAGCCAATATTAAAACAGCAATTATAATTCTGTTCCTACAACAGTTAGAAAATGAAATTTTAAAAAGACAATTTATAAATGTATAAAAGATCAAATACTATGAATATATCCAACAGTTATAAAACTTTAAAAAATGTTCAAATAAACCTAATCAAATGGACAGCTGTGCCATATTTGGAGTTGGAAGATCCAACATTATAGATACTGATTTTCCCCACTGAACCTATGTTTAATGTAAGTTCAACAGAATGTTTATATGTGTAAGTTGATCAGCAGATTCAATGTACAGGGAAATACAAAGGGTGTGATACTAAGGTTTATTTAAAGTTACAATAACAAAGTGTGATGCTAATGCAGGCAGACAGCTGGATCAAAAGATCTGGATGCTGATCTACTGACATTATTTTCTCCATTCCACCCTGCCGCTTTCTGGAAATCCTTTACAATATTCTACACGACAACAAACAAGAATAACTGAGAAGTATTCCTAGGTCTACTACTTATAAAAGTGAGGGAGAGTGTCAGGGCTGTGGTGGGGGAGAAGCAGCAGTAATCCAAAGTGGCTTGTACTCAGATGGGAGGCAGAACACTAGTCCTTTTGGAAAATCGGACTTGACTACTGAGAATAAAGAATATGACTCATTATTTGTGAGTGATACAAATAAGTCACTGAGGACACTTATGTTTGAAAATTCTTCATAAAAATTTTATTTAAGATCTCATGCCCTTATAAAAAGTACATTACATCAAGATTGCAAAAAAAAGACACTTTTTTTTATGAGAGACTTATCTATGTTACCCTCATAATTTATTTTCTACCCTACAGATCTCCTCCTCCTTCCTTTTCTTTTTTCTTCTTTGAAAGGACAAGGGCCATGAGGGATATCTTAATAGAATGTGCCATTTCCTTGCCAGGAAAGCAATAACTTCCTGCTGGACTTTAGAGAGCCACTGGCATTCCTTGTTCCCAGAACCAGAAAGGTCACCAGACCCTGAACTTAAATGTGACCATTACTTTCAATCTCTCTCTGAGTTTCTCTTTTACTCACACACTAGACTTTAAAACAATCTTAAGTTTTAAGCACTCAAGAATTGCTTAAGAAATTATTAAAGGGTCTAAAGTTAACTTTCTACTTTAACTTAACAACTGTTTTCTACATAAGAATCTCAAAGTTAATAAAAATTATATGAGTGGAGGACCCAATACTAGAAGGGGATGAATTCTCAGAGTAAATACATTTTATAAGTCTTGCCTCAAAAGTAAGATCAATCCTACAAAATACTTAGAATGTTAAGAATGCAATTTACACAGTAAAAATTATTTGTTTTCAGTATGAAAGTATTTTTAATTTCTTTACTGCAGGTACAATGGCATCCAAGTCATCAATTTCTGTAATAAAAAACAAACAAACAAGAATAATAAGAGCGCTTTATCTAGTGATTGGCTCAGATGAAATGAGAATCTCTATGCAAAGGCGTTTATACCTCAAACACAAAAGCAACAACACTGGCGCTTTTCATGCACATGAAATTTTTCTCCAATAGTGGTGATAAGAGTATCACTGAGACACAGATGCTTCACAGGGGATCTTGTTTGTAAAGGCTACCACAAACCCACAAGCATTTACTGACTTGGATAGTAAACTCATTAGCAGTATGCTCTTATTAACAGATCTTTGTGGCCACGTATTATGTTACTGCCTCTTTAAATCTGTATAATTACATGGGTGAGCCTGCATGGTAAAATCCCAGGCAGAGGCCATCTCTCTTCTGGGTCCCTAAGGATTTCTTTGCATGGAACACAGTCCTATCCTTAATTCTCTTGGAAAGATTTCTTATTAATATGATCACTCTTAAGACTATCTTTTAGGATGAAACATATCTACCTAATAAAATGTGTGAAGTGTCCCAAAGTACAAATCTCAGATGCAATGTCTTATAGAGCTTAGCCTGCTCCAGCTTACCAGATAAACCAGGTTCAGATTTTTCTTTGCCAGATTCTTTCAGAATCTGATTTTTCGTCCTAAGACTATATTCTCCCAATCAGCCTAAGTTAGAACTCGGTCTGAAAGCTCCCGGCTACTGAGGAAGTCATGTCCTTTCTCTGTTTATCTGAACTCCAGCTCTACTTAAGGTAAGCCCAGTGGCAGGTTCTCCAGATTCTCACCACTTTTCTAGATTATTCTGCTAGGCCATTGTTCATAAACTCATTTCCTTTACATAAAACATGCTTCCCTGGAATCCACCTTTCTTTCTTGATGTTTAGCTGGATTTTGGTTATTCTTCCTTTCATCTAAGCACATGACCCATGTTGTTTAAGCTCCTGACTTCAGTCAGAATACTTGTCTGGATCCACTTACAAAGCATCAAGATACAAGAGAGGAAAAAATATAAGCAAATCATAACAGAGAATTTTTTTTTTTTAATCCTCACCCGAGGACATTTTTCCATTTTTTGTTCAGATAGAGTGGGAGGGAGAGAGAGAGAGAAATATCGATGTGAAAGGGACACATTGACTGGCTGCCACCCGCACGACCAACCAGGGCCGGGGACAAACTGCAACCAAGGTACATGTCCTTAGCAGGAACTGAACCCGGGTCTCTCTGGACCGCAGGCCGACGCTCTAACCGCTGAGCCAAACCGACCCTGGATGACTGGCCAGGTTGACAACAGAGAATTTGGTTTACACATTACATCATGGTAAGGTACAAGATCAAGCTATTCCCTGATCCCATTCAGAAATCACACCTGCTTTCTCAATGAGAAATCTACCTTATAAGTGAACCTCACAGAGTTGTTTCTTAGCTGATATGAGAGTTGTCTCAGCTTCTATAAAAGGAAGAAAGTCCTCCATATCTGGTATTCAGTATACCACTCTATAGTTCTAGACGCTTAACATGACATGTAGTAATAAAAAAACTCATGTTTGCCAAACGTATTTAACTTTCCCAATGTTATATATAATATTTAACTTCAGAGTTCCAACTGTGACTAAAATGCAGAGTACATCTGCAGGGAGACTTGGCTTCTTGAAGCAGATGATCTCACATGAACCATGTTGATAACATCTGAGAGGAAGATTCTATAGAAGGATTCTGAAATAAGTGCTGCCAGCACATCTATTAACATATTTATTAATAATGAAGACTTCACTATTTAAGTTAACTGCTATGCCAAAGCAAGCAAAATTGAATTATTCTATACTGGGGATCAAACCCATAACCTGGGTATGTGTCCTGACTGGGAACCAAACCCATCACCTTTTGGTGTACAGGATGACATTCCACCCAACTGAGTCACACCAGCCAGGGCTAATTTGTATATTTAAAAAACACAGTAGAGCTCAGCTGGTGTGGTTCAATGGATTGAGCGTTGTCCCTTGGACTGAGAAGTCCTGGTTTGATTCCCAGTCAGGACACATGCCCAGGTTTCAGGATCGATCCCCAGTAGGGGGCGTACAGGAGGCCGCTGATCGATGTTTCTCTCTCTCTCTCTAAAACAAACAAACAAACAAAACACACACACACAGTAGATAGGTACTATCTTTTAAAAGAAGGAAGAGGAGGAGAAAAAACACCTTCCAAGGTCATAAATTCTACCAACATTTCTCCTCAGATAATGACAGAGTCAGGGCTTTGCCAGAGTAAATGCCATTTCTCATCTTAAGGTCCCAGGACAAAGGCAGCCCCTTGTGCCTTAAAGGTATGCGCTTCTCTGTTCTGTAGACTAATCTCAACCACCTCTAACTGCAAGTTAGGAGTGTTTTTCTAGAATCGTTAGTGGTTTCCAGATACTTTCTACCAAATACTATAGGTAAAAACACTAATCCAGTGACTAAGGAACATTCTTCCCTCAAACCCACTGATATCTTATGACTTGAAATTTAAACACCATTAACAGAAATCTTACCTAAGATTTCAAGTAGATCATTAGTGAATGCCTGAAATGCTGGAAAAAATTCCTCATGTTCTTCCAATTTGATGATAATGCTTTAAAAAAAAATGTACAGTTTACACTGAATTTTCAACTTAAAGTTCTTGCATCTGATTGAATGTAGAATATTTTCAAAATAAAAATTGTCCTAATTTAAATATAAATTTAATAATTTACTGCAATCCTTCCTTTTGAACTCTTTGTTCATCAAACATCACTTTTCTAAAAAAAAACCAAAACTCTTATTATCAGTGTAAATATCTGTTCCAAGGTTAAATTTAGATAAATTTATATAAAGTTTCACTAATATGGGAAATTTTCCATTTAGCTCAAGGATTCTTAAGAGACCATGTTTTTATAACATTAAAAAATAATTGGCTTGTATATCCAGTATCCTATTAAACATTAAGTATCAATAGTCAGTAAAATAGTGGGAAAGGGAAAAAGACCAGTAGTAAGATAAATGTTCCTTTTAAAAGCATCAAGTGTCCCAATGGAGTACTATGCAGCTGTAAGAAAGAAAGATCTCTTATCCTTTGAGACGACATGGAGGGACCTGGAAAGTATTATCCTAAGTGAAATAAGCCAAGCAGAAAAAGACAAATACCACATGATCTCACTTATATACGGAATATAATGAACATAACAGTCTGAGGAATACTGTAGACCCAGAAACATGGAAGTAGGGTACAGACTGACATCCCTCAGAAGAGGGGGGGGGGGGAGAGATAAACCACAGAACTTATATTCATGTATGCATGACGAATGGACATGGACAACTAAACCGGGGATGGGGCAGGGGGGGGGGTGGGGAGGGGGTGCCAATGGGGTAAAAAAGGAGAAATATCTGTAACAAAAAAATAAATAAATAATTTAAAATAAATAAATAAAATAAAAGCATCAAGTGTCCGACTAGGTAAGGGTTCTTCTTAGAAAACTGGCAGAACATATGGACTAGTGTATATGTTTCCCTTCCCATATGCTGCAGTATGAAATTTGTGTGGGGAGTAAGAGTTTTATATTAGAGATGCCTAGCTTTTTAAAAAAATCCTTAACATTTTATCTTCCAATCAAATATTGTAGTGTATTAAAAACAGAACTTGTTTATATATTCTAAATTCACATGAGGTTGCTAACAAGTTTTTAATATCTCCACATATAATTTCCCCTAGGAACAGGCTTACAGCAATAAAGCTAGTTTATGTAAACTTACCCACCTTATGTAAATTTATAGGCCTTACAATCTATTTTTATTTTGAAAATATCTGGCATTCTCTCTAACCCTGACCTGTGAGATTATTTTAGATTGTCATTTAAAAAGTGCTATTCCAAACAGGAAAGGTAAATAATTTATGAAGTTTTGAAAGTGTTTAATTTCACCACTCCAAGCATTCTGGATGATATTTTGCAAGCTTTTTAAAATAAATACCTTTGGAGGTCTTCAGGTCCCAATACCTGCATAACCTTTTCATTTACATCCTCATTAACCAGCCTACACAATTTTCCAACTGTGCTCACCACCATACACAATGAGGATGAACTATCTGCAAAAGACATAAAAGAATAGGATATTTTAAAAGACAATTCTTAAAATCATTGAATCAAATACTTAATGCTTCAGTTATCCTCAAATTTTTTACTTTAAAATTTTTTTACCTACTTTTTGTTGATTTATTAGGAATAGTTCTTAAATGGGGGCCCAAAAAGACAAAGGGTCATCACCTAATTCTAAGAGTTCTTGGAGGTTTCTCACAGCATTGTTCATTTCTCCAAGCCTAGTATAAACTTCATTCATTCGGGGATAGACTCCATTTAAAGAAGGCACATCAAATAATTTTTGGAAGTGAGAAACAATAGCTTGCAAAATCTGAAAGTTTGGCTTATTGCTGTCCTGTCCAAAAAAGAGAGAGAGAAAGAAAGATAGTTCACATCTTAAAATAATCCCAAATCTTTAATAAAAACTTTAAAAAGAGAAATAGAGTCCTAGATCAAATATCAATATCCATATAGTTATCAATTTAAAGTTAAGATTACATTAAAATGTAAACATTTACATAAGTATTAAGTATTACCTTTTCCTTATTTTCAACTTCTTCCAACATGGTATCTACTATAAACAACAAATCTTCAACTCTGACACCTTCATTTTCATCCTGCTTCTTTAAATTATGCCAAGGCACCAGTTCTGCAGACAGCATTTTCAAGGACTTATATAAATCCTGTATAACAAAAGAAACGACATGATATTAGTTTATTTTAAAAAATAATTGTCATAATAATGCTATTAACATATAATCATGTTTCAATATCTTTTTAAAAAATCAGGATTTATGTTAGGGTTTAATAAATATACTAACCATTATCAGTATTTTTTTAAAAATACCATTACCAGTTTAGAAAAAGTCCGTTAAATTCGTTTTCTCCAGGTAAATATAGGCCTTACATAAAACATTCCATTCTGATTGTCTTGAATCTGGATGTTTTAAATAATTATATATCATTTATTCACATATGTTATTTAAGTAATTGTTTGAATTATTGATGGATTAAACAACAAACTTGTTCTTTATATTTTGGCCTTGAGTTGTTTTTTTTTATAACAGACAGGATATAAATCACACAGCATAAAATTCACCCTTTTTAAGTGTACAATTCAGTATGTTAATATATTGACAGAAATGTGCAATCGTCTAATTATATAATGTGCAACCATTATCTAATTTCAGAACATTGTTATTAATACTCAAATAAACCTGCACCTACTTGAAGTCATTCCCCATTCTCCCCTGCCCCTATCCCCTGGGTTATTAATTTACTTTCTTTTTCTATGGATTTGTATTAAATGGATTCATACAATAAAATAGCCTTTTGTGACTGGCCTCTTTCACTTAGGATAATATTTTCTAGATTCATCCATATTATAGTATATATCTCCAGGCAGGTTTTAATTTAAAAGGATGCCTAAATTAATCCTAACTAATATTCATGACGGCCTACTCAGTTTTCTTGGCCTAGACACATTGCCCTCATCTATTTTAAACTGTACACAAGGGGCAAGGCTACTGAAAGTTTAGAACTCTAAGACAGGTCAATGATAAACAAATATTTACTGAACGTCTATGTGTGCATGGCACAGTACTTGGTCTTTGAGAACAATGCTGTCCAAAAGAAATGTAATGTGAGTCACAGTAATTTTAAACTGTCTAGTAGCCACACTTTAAAAAGTAAAAAGGTGACATTAACTTTAGCAATATATTTTATATAACCTGATATATCTTAAATGTTACCATTGAATACTTAGTATTTTAATTATTTTTCCATATTAAATCTTCTTAATCTTTTATTTTATTTTTTTAATCCTCACCCGAGGATAATTTTCCATTCATCTTCAGATAATGGGAGGGGGAGAGAGAGAAATATCAATGTGAGAGAGACACACTGACTGGTTGCCTCCTGCACCAGTCGGGGACCAAACTAGAACCAAGGTAAGTACCCTTGACCAGAATCAAACCCGAGTCTCTTTGGTTAGCAGGCTGACGCTCAAACCACTGAGCCAAACCAGCCAGGGCTTAATCTTATATTTTATACTTACAGAACATCTCAGTTGGAACCAGCCACATTTCAAGTGATCAAAGCTACACATGGCAGGAGGTTACTGTACAAGGCAGCGCGAGTCCAGAATACAGAAAGAAGTATACGAGAAATTATTTTTCCAATTTCTTTTAGTCCTCCACATATTTAATACTTTCCAATTAATACCCAAACCTCACATATTGATATCTTTAACCTTTCATTTGGTAAGAAGGCAATTACATATTTTAGCAACTCAAGGCGATGCATCCAGTATCAAATGAATGTTTTAAACATTAAGTGCCACCAGAATTTGAAAAAAAAGTAAAAATGTCACATCATAATAATACCTTCATTAATTAATACCCTATTAAGAAGGTACAATCATAAACAAATGGTCTATGGTAAAAACCACACCAAATATAAATGTTTGCTTGAGAATAAAAGTAGTAACAAGATTGAGAAAAATAGATGTCCGATGTACTTAGCAGTGCAGAATAGTCATAGCATAGTCCATCAAGTAAGCCCTGAAAAATCTAAAAGAGGGTCTCCTAGGTTCTCCACATTGCTCAGCTGTGGGGATGCAGAAGAGCCAAGGGCCTGTCTGACTTTGGAAGACTGGCCTCTGGAGCACTGGGGAATGGGAAAGCCACAGAATCCCACAGTGTCCTGGGCTGGGAAAGCTACAGAGTCTGCAGCTCACTGTGAAGGAGGCAGCCACCTAGCCTAGCTCATGCTTTTTCCATCCTTCTCTTTTACACCAAATCTAACCTGAGAAAAAAACTAATCTTGGAAAATGGTTATCCCAAACTTAGAGGCTGCTACAGTATAGAAAACCTTTCATATGAGGAGACCTCAAAGAACCTCACATAGTTTCTCAATTTGGATCCTGATTCTGCAGTAAAAGGTAAATATCTGAAGCATGGCCCCAAATCCATGAGTTACTTCAGTGGCAGAGCCACTAAATTCCTATTGAGGATCCTCAGGATATTCTAACTTCAAAGTTAACTCTCCTTGTCTCCTTCTAGTGGGAAAACTATACAGTAGCAAGAATTCACCTCCACTGTAAAACTTTTCTTGGGGGCTCGTCCCTCCTCCAGAATCTGGAGTACAAGTTATCTGCAATATTCATGTGGCACTGCATGGCTTGTTTTCATCTCTTCTAATGATATCTTGAATGGTTAAGGTTTATTTAATATATTTTAGTATGTTTTCTCTCCAACTAATCTGAATCTTATGTTCACCTTTTCTTATACCTCCCACAATGCCTTGAACATAGTAAATAATAACTATCCATTTATCTGATTCTTCCCTTCGCCTCCTCTCTCTTCTAGTCTCTCCCTTGTCTTGAAAAGGCTGGGGCATTCTCTAGCCCATCTGCCCTGAGGAGGAGAAAAGTGGAGTTAGCTGGAAGAAAGAAATCTCCTGACAAGCAATAATTGGGAAAATGTCAAGATTTATAGAATTGCCCTGGCTGGGTTTGCTCAGTGGTTAGAGCGGTGGCCTGCGGTCTGGAGAGACCCGGGTTGGGTTCCTGCTAAGAGCATGTACCTCGGTTGCAGTTTGTCCCCGGCCCTAGTTGGTCGTTCGGGTGGCGACCACTCGATGTGTCCCTTCACGTCAATGTTTCTCTCTCTCTCTCTCCCCCTCCCACTCTATCTGAACAAAATAAAAAAAAAAAAAATGTCCTCGGGTGAGGATAAAAAGATTTATAGAATTAACCACTAATTATTTCACTCTCTTCTGAGATAAAAACTGAAGGAACTCAGGCCTATAAGATAGGTATGTTAATCCAATAGTCACTCAATTACATTTTTTATTTTATTTTATAGCTCTATCTGAGCCTTATTTAAAACAGGAAGGAGAAATTAGGCTGAATGTGAAGATTCTTTCATCAGGTGTGTTTTAATTTTTTTTAATTCAGTATCATCATCTCCATTTTGTTGCCTTGCAATGTGTTGTTCTGCTTCATTCTTTTGACAAATATTGAGCACTTATTATATATCAGGAAGTTCCTTGGGACATGTCAGAGAACAAAGACAAAACTTGTAGAGCCTATACATATCTTCTGTATCATTTACACTCCCTGTAATAAGGCTTCTACTGATAAATTCTGTTACTGAATCACACCTTCATAAACAGAGGTATGCTACATATATATTAGTTATTGAAAAATCTAAAATTTAAAGGGAACAGAAATTAAATACAGTTGACTTTGACAATTCACCTTTTAGTGAGCTACTCAACAAAAAACTAAAAAAAAAAACTGAAGTTAATAAAGAATATACAAGAAGTCTATAAAGTGAAGACCAGGTAGAGGTAGTACTGGCTGCTACCTGACCACAGTCTTCTCTACAGAATAGACAGACATGGAGATAAGCTTTGAAAGAAAAAAAATAATTTAAAATATTAAGAGAAGCCCTGGCCAGTTTGGTTCAGCGGTTAGAGCATCAGCCTGAGGACCAGAGAGTCCCGGGTTCAGTTCCCACTAAGGGTATGTACCTCAATTGTAGTTTGTCCCTGCCCCGGTTGGGGTCATGTGGGTGGCAGCCACTCGATGTGTCTCTCTCACATTGATGTTTCTCTCTCTCTCCCTCCATCTCTCCCTCCCACACCATCTGAAGATAAATGCAAAAATGTCCTCGAGTGAGGATAAAAAAAAAAAGTATGAAGAGAAAAGAAACACCTTCAATTAAAATGGGATGAAGGATAAGTCATTATATCTGAAGAGGAATAAGGGCCAGGAAAATCTGTAGCATGGGGACACCAAAAAGAGGGAGACGAAGGTAGAACAGGGAAGGACCTAGAAGTGCAAAGTGGATCTACTATAGATTTTTAACAAGGCAATGGGACTAAAAACGTCTTTCTTGTTTGGTAGAACCTTATAAGAGGCAAAGCCTACAGTAATGGCAACATCAAATAGGTAGTACTTAAAATAGATATGTAAGTAGCAAGATTAACATTTAGATAAAATAAGCCTTTTCAGCTTTACAGTTAAAACAAACAAACAACAAATTAAGCCTAGTCCTATTAATAAAGTCCACAGACTCCAACAGATTTTCAAAGCATGTAAAGAATATTCAACCCCTTACCTTCAGGGAAATCAGCTGATCTGCCCACATTTCTATTATAGGAACAAGATGCTCAAATCCACAATCTTGAACAAGATCTTTATTAAAATGTTGGGCTCCTCCTTTGCTCTGTTTATAAATTATTACTGGAGCTCTTGGATTGTGAATAATTGAATTGATGCTACTCAGCACCTTAAAAAAAAAAAGACTGTTTTTAGTTGAAATGTTTACCACAGTCCTATAAAAGTGATATATATTAAAGGAGTGCTTTATATGTCAATGTTAATTTTAGGCATTAAGAAGATTTTTTTAAAATATGTTTTTATTGACTTTTTAGAGAGAGAAAAAAGGAGAGGGAGAGATAGAAACATCAATGTGAGAGAGAAACATCGATTGGCTGCCTCCTGCACGCCCCCTACTGGGGATCAAGCCTGCAACCCGGGCATGTGCCCTGACCGGAATCGAACCAGGACCTCTCAGTTCATGGGAGGATGCTCAGTCCACTGAGCCACACCGGCCAGGAAAGAAGATCTTTAATAAGTCTGACAGTTGAAGTGTTTTGGAAGTACAACGTTTCATCAACATGATTAAATATGTAAGTTCTAATGAGAACCACAGACTTCACACAAAAACTAAAATGTATTTTTAAATGATTTAGATTTGAAAGAAGTTATGACCTATTATAATCCACATAGAAAAGAATAATCATCCAGTTACCCTTAGCTAAATTCCCACATTTTCCTATTTCTCTCTCCTCATATTTAAGCTAATATGGGTATTAAGTGGGAGCATTTCCTACTGTTTCACAGTTTCAGCTGAAGTTCAGAGTAAAGACAATGAATTATAAAGTCCCACACATTCTAAAGAGAAGTCCTAAAAACATCATGCAAGCCTTGCTAAGAGGTGATCAAAGTGATCCTGGATAGTGACCAGCCTATTTAAGAAATTGTTAGAGCCCTGGCCGGTTTGGCTCAGCGGTTAGAGCGTCGGCCTGCGGTCCAGAGAGACCCGGGTTCGGTTCCCGCTAAGGGCATGTACCTCGGTTGCAGTTTGTCCCCGGCCCTGGTTGGTCGTGCGGGTGGCAGCCACTCGATGTGTCCCTTTCACGTTGATGTTTCTCTCTTTCTCTCTCCCTCCCACTCTATCTGTGCAAAACATGGAAAAAAAATGTCCTCAGGTGAGGATAAAAAAAATAAAATAAAAAAATAAAAAATAAAAAAAGAAATTGTTAGAGATTCACAGGACAAGACTCACCAAGATGAGTGTATGTTAAAGGAATGTATAAAACTAGTGAGTGAAAAATGCTGTGCTATTTTTCTTTTCTCCCCATAAAGCAGCGGTTCTCAACCTGTGGGTCACAACCCCTTTGGGGGTTGAACGACCCTTTCACAGGGGTTGCCTAAAATATAACAGTAGCAAAATTACAGTTATGAAGTAGGAACAAAAATAAAATTATGTGGGGGTCACCAAAACATGAGGAACTGTATTAAAGGGTTGCGGCATTAGGAAGGTTGAGAACCATTGCCATAAAGCAACAGGTCTCCTGAGAATTTTACTTCAGATGCTTATTAGCAAGCAGTTTATTTGTTGTTTATTTTAGTGCATTTCAATATTTTGCTCCTATTATATTTAAAATCTTTGATTACCATTTTAGTGGGGAAAAAATTTCCCTCCATTAAATTATCAATGAACATAATCCTTCTCCTGCTTCAAACCAAAAGTAAGAAAGGCAGAACTCTTAAGAGAGACCAGGGAACTGATGCTAGCTGAGCTTTAGAAGTTCATAGGACAATCCCATTCCATGATGGAGGTGATAAACCAAGGGAGATTACATGTATTTCTAGCAGTATGTATCCAAACTTTGTGGTAGATGGTTTGCAAATATTACTGCAATTATTTCTCTTCCTTATACCCTCTCCCCTTTGCAGTGTGACACTGCAGGTTTTCCCATCAAGAAGTCAAGTCTGTTTTTCTACTCCTTAAATCTGGACTAATCTTGGGCCTTGTACTGGCCCACAGTAAAGGAAGTAACGGTGTGCCAGCTCAGAACCTGAGATTCAAGGTGCCTTGATTATTTCTGCTCTCTCTTTGAACTCTGCTGCCACATGGACAAGCCAAGGCTAGCTGGTAGATGACAAAAGACACATGGCCCATCACCCTGAGCCAATATCCACCTAACTCCCAGAAGCAGGGCCACTTAGCTGACTTATATCTGATAGCAGATGCATTAAGGAGCCCAATCAAGATCAACAGAACAGCTCAGCTGTCCAAGCACTATATATTAAAGGGCTATCACTAAGTTTGAGGAGGGTTTGTTACACAGCAAAAATGCACTGATACATATGTAAAGATAAAGATGGAATAGAGCAAGGAGCGGAGGCAGCAACAAGGGAAGCATGTCCTTTTACATTGTAGTAGGGTAAAAATATACCCTGTGGCAAAATGAATACTTTGGAAGAGAATCAAGCTTTGCTTTCATGGAATAAAACTACCTATAGCTGGAGGACCCTAGGGGAGTATCACTTGAACAGGAGGAAGAAAGGGATTCCTAAGAGGTCAACTGAAAAATGCATTGCACAGAGAATGAATGATACATTAACAAGGTCCCTGGTTGGTGAAGAGGAAATAACACCCCCCCCCCCACACACACACACACACACACAACACAGGCATTCCATGAAAGAGAAAAACAGGCAGCATTTGGTCATCAGCCACACAAAGGACACCACCACTAGATTACACCAGCACCAATCAAGAAAAATTCTCCCCTCTTGTTTTCTATCCTCACCAACATCCATCCTCACTACCAATCCTGGAGAAGCCAGACATAAGAAAAATGAACAATTCTCCAATATCATTAATGCCTAAATTGAATTTTAAATATCTTGATGTGTATGTGTTATAACACCCAAGCTAAAAGCTACGAGTTCTACATTCTGTATCATCCAAGAAAAGAAAAGGGAGATACAAAACAGCAAGTTTAAAGGGAAGAGTAAAATAATTCCCTTATTTACCACCACCAAGGCCAGCCTATTTACTAAATAGTTATACGCACATAAAGACAAAATACCATTCTGATCTTGAATCTCTGTCCCTACTCATACTTCAAACTACAACTCATAGGTCTCCTGGTTATATGACCTCCAATGTTTGTTTAGAAGCTTTTCTTTTTAGTTCAAGAAAGTGTATTTCGACCTTAGCTGGGTAGTTCATTTGGTTAGCGCACCCTCCCCATACACCAAGGTTGTGGGTTTGATCCCTGGTAGGGCCACATACAAGAATCAACCAGCCCTGGCCAGTTTGGTTCAGGGGTTAGAGCATCGGCCTGCGGTCCCGAGAGACCCAGGTTCGGTTCCCACTAAGGGCACGTACCTCAGTTGCAGTTTGTCCCCGGTCTTGGTTGGGTCGTACGGGTGGCAGCCACTCGATGTGTCCCTTTTACATCGATGTTTCTCTCTCCGCCCCCCCCCTTCTCTATCTGAACAAAAAAATAGAAAAATGTCCTTGGGTGAGGATAAAAAAAAAAAAAGAATCAACTAATGAATGCATAAATAAGTGAACAACAAATCTCTCTCTCTTTCTTTTTTTTCTCTCTCTCTCTCCCCCCTTCCCTCCCTTCCTCTAAAATCAGTCCCCTTCATGTTGATGTTTCTCTCTCTCTCTCTTCCTCTCTCTCCCTCTCACTCTATCTGAACAAAAAAAAAAAAAATTAAAAAAAATTAAATAAAATCAATAAACAAATATATTTTAAGAGAAAGTGTATTTCAACATTCCACTTATATTTAAACACATCATTTTAATGGAAAAATTAATTATTTCCTGTCTACTGAATTATTATTGATAGCAGAGTATATTCTTCCTTATGACTTAACCATACTCTGATGATTGGAAGTAAAAGATGTATTAACAATGAGGAAAGGGTAAAATGACTTAAATAATTCCCAGAGAAATGGGAATTAAAAAAGAAAACTCACAATATAGGTCTTATCTTATTCAGAAAGAGCTTGCAAATACTGATAAACTCTTGATATGGATAAAAAAATATTTTTAAGGGTAATCATTTAGAATCATTAAAAGAATTAAGATGATGAATATCCTAACTACTTGAAGAGAATGAAAGGACAAAGAAATCTTAACAAATGTCAGGAAAAGAAAAGAATGGAACACAAAACCATGTAAATAGAAACAGAAAGTAAGATGTCAAGAATAAAAGTAACTGTGTGTGCTGGTCTCAATGACCATGAATGGTTTGATTCCCCTGTTAAAGAATCAAATCTCTCAAATTGAATTTAAGAAACAAAATGAAACAAAAGAAATTTAGTTATATACTAGGTACAGGAGAGCTATCTAAAACAAAACAGTTTTCAGAGAGGTGCCTGGACAGAAAATCAACACAGTGACATATGAAGAACCAACAATAATCAATTAGAAAATATAATGGAAAAAAGTATCCACACAATAGCAATAAAAGTTATAAAATATCTAGGAAATAAACATAAGAAATATGCAAGAGCTAAATTTAAAAATATATAAAACTTTATTGAAGACTATCAAAGAAGACCCAAATAAAATTAGAGACATATTTCTGAGTGAGGTGATTCAATACTATAAAGGTATTAATTTTCTAAATATTAATCTAAAAAGTTAATTGAGCCCTGGCCAGTTTGGCTCAGTGGTTGGAGCGTCGGCCCGCAGACCAGAGTCCCAGGTTCAGTTCCCGATAGAGGCAAGTACCTCGGTTGCAGTTTGTCCCCGGCCCCATGGGGTTGTGTGGGTGGCAGCCAGTCAATGCGTCTCTCTCGCATCGATGTTTCTCTCTCTCTTCCTCCCTCTCTCCTTCCTGCTCTATCTGAAGATAAATGCAAAAATGTCCTTGAGTGAGGATAAAAAAAAAAAAGTTAATTGAGCCATGTCCACTTTGGCTCAATGGTTAGAGCATCGGCTTGTGGACCGATGGGTCACAGGTTCCATTCCCGGTCAAGGGCAAGAACCTGGGTTGTGGATTCAATCCCTGGCCCCTGTTGGTGTCATACAGGAGGCAACCCATTGATATGAGAATGAGACACATCAATGTTTCTCTCTCCCTCCCTCCCTTCCACTCTATCTAGAAATTGGTGAAAGAATATCCTTGGGTGAGGATTAACAAAAAATAAAATAATAAATAAATAGTTAATTGAATTTCATTTCATCTCAATGGGATCTATTTTTATTTTTATTTTTTAGTTTGTTTTTTCCTTTATTGATTCTAGGAGAGAGAAGGAGAGAGGGAGAAAGAGATAGAAATATCGATGAAAGAGAACATCAATTGGCCGCCTCCTGCATGGGGGGCATCAGGCCCACAACCTGGGCATGTGTCCTGACTGGGAATCAAGCTGGCAACCTCTTGATGCATGGGTTGATGTTCAACCACTGAGCCACACCGGCTGGACTCAATGGAATCTATTTTTAAATTTGACAAACTATTTATCCAGAAGAATAAATGTGCTAAAAACATAGCCAAGGACAGTGCTTCTCCTGCTCGGGCCTGAAAGGCCCCACTATTTTGGAAGATCCAATGGGTCCTCCTTGGGAGGAGGCAGCAGGGAGTGGCTAGGGTCCAGCACCCGGAGGCCACAAGTGCGCCTGGCACCATTGGACTAGTGGCCTCCACTGTGCCAATGTCAGCCATGCCACCAAGGCAGCTGTGCCCAGCAGCAGCAATGCCATGGGAGCCCAATGGAGCCTAGCAGCAGCTCTCCTAAGGGAGCCGAGCCAGACAGTAGTAGTGCCTTGAGGCCTGCACACCCTAGCAGCGCCCACAGACCCCGCAGCAGCCAAGAGCCACCTGCGCTGCCACTATAGCCAACGTCAAAAGCTGCCAGCATCCCCGGACAACTGGACTCGATCCAAGATCTGTCCTGCCACTACCAGACGAAACAGCCCAAGTGTCTGTAAGTAAACAAGTGGATAAAAAAGTTGTGATACATTTACACAATGGAATACTATGCAGCTATAAGAAAGAAAGATCTCTTACCTTTGAGATGATGTGGAGGGACATGGAGAGTATTATGCTAAGCGAAATAAGCCAGTCAGAGAAAGACAAGTATCACATGATCTCACTTATTTGTACACCATAATGAACAAAATAAGCTGAGAAACAAAATAGTTCTAGAGACATGGAAGTAGGGAACAGAATGACAAACCTCAGAAGGAAGGAGGGTGGGGGGGAGGGAAGAGTTAAACCAAAGAACTTAAATGCATATATGTATAACCAGTGGTCACAGACTAAAGTGTGGTGAAGCGAGGGGTAGATGGGAGTGGGGAGGAGGATGTCCATGGGAGGAAAAAAAGAGGATATCTGTAATACTTACAACAATAAAGATAATAAAAATATATTAAAAAAAAAAAACATAGCCAAGGAAAAAATTCTAAAGAACAATGACAAGATACTTAACCTAAAAGGTATCAAAACTATAAAAATTTAAAGAATATGAAAATAGTATAGAAATGGAACAGACTAGCCCTGGCCGGTTTGGCTCAGTGGTTAGAGCGTCGACCTGCGGTCCTGAGAGACCCGGGTTCGGTTCCCGATAAGGGCATGTACCTCAGTTGCAGTTTGTCCCCGGCCCTGGTCGGTTGTGTGGGTGGCAGCCACTTGATGTGTTCCTTTCACATAGATGTTTCTCTCTCTCACTCTGTTCCTCTCTCTCCCTCCCACTCTACCTAAACAAAAAATGGAAAAATGTCCTCGGGTGAGGATAAAAAAAAAAAAAAAAGAAATGGAACAGACTAGAGAGAAACCTATGCATACAGGGGAATAGGATATATGATAAAGGTTTTATTTCAATAAAGTAGAGAAAGAATGGTCTATTGGAAACTGCAAACTCAAATGTCTACAGAAGCCAGATAAGAGCATAAATGAGTGAAGCAAGGACGGGTGGGGACAATGGTCTACTGAAGAGCACAGGCCCATGTGACGGGGGAAGGGCATAATTCTGCTCTAATAATGACTGCGCAGGATTTTGTTGCCAGATTCTCTTTATTTTTTTCAATCCTCAACCAAGGACATGTTTTTCTTGATTTTATGGGGGTGGCGAGGAGACACATCGATGTGAGAGAGAAACATTGATTGGCTGCATTCCCTTCATGCCCCAACTGGGGATCTAACCCAGAACCTGGGTATGTGCCCTAATCGGGAATCAAACCTGTGATCCTTTGGTGCACTGTATGATGCTCCAACCACCTGAGCCACACCAGCCAAGGCACCCAATTCTCTTTTTAAGAGAAACTACAAATAAGAAGTTAATAAAATCTCCTAATTTTAAAAAATATTAGTAATTAATTCAAAATTTTAAAAAAAAACCTGTGTGGGGTCAACAAAATAAAATGTAGGCCTAGTTCTGTAAGCAAATGCCCAGGCTTATCTGAACATCGACCCAATAAATGCTCATATATCTATTCTATAAAATCAGTAAGGTAAGGTCTCTACATCACACCACAGAGACGATTATATTTAGATTAAATATCTAAATAAAAAAAAACCATACAAGGACCTTAAGAAAATGTACTTAAATAATAGTAACAGTAATAATAACAACCACCACATCAATACCAAAAAACAATAAAAAGGGAAATGGTTTAAGGGGGAGAGTAGGGAAAAGAATAAAAATCTTACCAGCTTTTTACTACCCTGCTTTGAACAGGCCAAAGTCTCTTTTAAGGGGAAAGACAAATTCTAAGTCAATCTAACTACGATGTTTTTTAGCCAAATAGGTATGTCATGGCAAGACAAGACAGGATAATCATACACAAATGGAATACAAGTGTTCCTTACCAACTGATCATTTATTACACTGAGATGGAAACCAAGATTGACTACAAATACCAGTCTCTTTCCCAGCTATTCAATACCTGAAAGTATCTCTGGTCAATTAGGACCTGCTGCTGGTTATCTTTGCTGGGCTCATCTTTTTTCTCTTTGTCCTCAGCCTTGTTTTGACTGATAAGATCTTGTAATCTAAAGGGGGGGAAAAATCAAGATAATACAAAATGCTTTTTTAGATACTGGATTAAGATAACAAACTCAGCCAGTGATCCAGCTACCCTCCCAATAGTTTTATGTCATTTTATATGTGTGTGTGTTGCGTGTGCTTTCACACACATGCATACATGCATTTTAAAAATTTTAAGCCATATTGTCACTGGAAAACAAGAAGGTCCTCTCAACAGACCACAAATTAGAAGGAATTGCTGAAAACAAAAGAGATCAGATTGAAGAAAGCTCTAACCACTCACCAACACTTGCCAAAAAAATAGAACAGGAAAGAACTACAGCGAAGAATGGAAGCAACTTCTAAGGAATCCAAGCTTGGAGGCTACAGGTAGGTAAGTAAGTAGCAACGGGCAGGGCAACTGGTTTGGCACTGTAGCAGCAAGAGCTAGACAGTAGTCCCTCCTTTATGCTCCACTTGTGCCAAAGAACACACAATGATGCCTGGGCCAGGCAAAAGGGCATGAAAACCCAAGAGACCATTGTTCCAGGTAGTTACTAGAACACTGAGGGTGAGTCTCTTTGCCCAGAAACCTAATTGTGTGTGCATGTATTCACCTATTAGCAAACCGCTGCCCTTCTTCAAATATCTCTGAAGTCAGGCTGTAGCAAACATTCCTCCTCCCATCCACCATACCTTTGAAAAAACTGGTCTCTTATTACACCCACTTCAAATGAACCATCTTAATTTTGAGTATGCCTCTCAGTTTCCTACAGAACCTTGACTCGTCGAACTGATTCCATGACTCATTAATGAACTTGGCCTGCTATTTGTTAAACAGAATAGCAATATGCCATCATGTCAGTTGCCTGCTAAAAAACAATCACTTGTTTCCCACTGCTTTATGAATTAAATATAATCTCCTTGGGTTAGCATTTGAATCTCTCCATGCTGTTAGTCCTAACCTAATATTCCTCCTTTCTTACTACTACCCTACAGTTATCTACTCCAGTCACATGTATTACCCTTGATATTCACTCAGTTGCTCTTCTCTGCTCTCTGGCGAGTATATGACAAGAAAAAAGTTTAATAAATGGAATTAACTCTAGGTAAAAAGTCAACCTCTTTCCTCTAGTAGACACAAATAACTCATAATCTATTTTCCACCTATTACCATATTCACAGTTTTGCTTAAGCGCAGTGCCAGGAGCATATTATCTAGAATACGAGAGACAGAGGTCTTTCACTAAGACTCCTATTTCCTCACCCTACTTAAAGAGAGAGTGAGATATGTTCTCTAGTGGAAATACAGTCAAACAGTTCTCAAACGTCTCCCATCTCAAACAATTCGATTCTCGACCTAGTTGTTCATGGAAAAAATGTCTAGGCCATTGAACAAAACTTTGGTTCTCCACCTGACAATCCTTTCAGGCTGATACATCAGCATGACAAAAAGTCTCTCTCAAGTCACAAACAAATGAGAGAATATGAGTCAGTTTATCCCTAAACCTGCGCTGTGAATACTTTTGTGCTTTTTTTTTTTTTTTCTTTTTGTTGCAGGTGAAATGGACAATTAGCACAATTTTAAAACAAAAAGAGGCAGTCCAGCTAGTGTGGCTCAGTGACCCATGCACCAAGAGGTCACTGGTTCGATTCCTGGTCAGGGCACACTTCCAGGTTGTGAGCCAAATCCCCCCAGTAGGGGGCATGCAGGAGGTGGACAATCAAAGTTCTCCCTCATTGATGTTTCTATCTCTTTCTCACTCTCTCAAATCAATAAAGAAAAAAAAATTTAAATAAACAACCTCTCAGTCTTGCTCCTTGAACCTTTGGAAAGTTTAAACTGGGCAAAATAACCTTTGGACTGGGCCTAAAACATCGCTGTATTTCAAACAACTATTTGTAAAGCTAACAGGAAAGCAGATCCTTTGGACTGAAAATTAAAGACATTCTTGAGAATTAGTACCACCATGGTTAGCTAAAGAAAAACTTAGCTTATTTGCACCTATAGAAATTCCTTCTTTTACTTATTAACACCAGTAGAAACTCCTACTTTCTATTCATGTAATTATTCCCCTTACTGCTCTCATAAAGTCCCCTTGCTATTAACCCCAAAGGGAACACTGGGTTTCTGCCTGAATAATTACTTCCTGAGTTGCTTTTCTTTTAGATCTCAAATGCCTGTTGCCTCTCACTTTGGCCATTTTTTTTTTTTTTGGTAGGTTAACACTTCTATTCACATAATTGTTTTCTTCCTTTTCTCATAAAAAAACCCTTGCCTTCACCCTGTCATTAGGACACTATTTGGGTTTCTATCTCAACCTGTATTCAATTCTTTTTTGTCCCAAAAAATGCTGTAGCCTTTCATTTTGGCTTTTTTTTTTTTTTAAGTTCTTAGTTTATTAACCCTCTCATGAAAAATCTGCACGATCACCACAGATAAAGTCACGGAAGACTCTTGACTCCTTTTTGCAGCACCAACACTGGCCTTTGCAGTCCCCCTGGCTTTCTTCATTCTGTTCTTGCGTTCCTTTAACTATCTTCTTGAGGTCTTCTTTTCAGACAGGCCATGTCTGACAAGTCTATGTTTGGGTTCATTTTTCTTTATGTAATCCAAGGAATCATAAATCATGCCGAAGCCAGTTGTCACCAAAATGGGTTCTGAATCTAAATACAATGACATCTTGTGTGGTCTTATACATTTTGGCTGGTTTTTCCCAAATTTCTGTCTTAGGGACTGTTGCCTTCCCAGGGTGAAGGACATTAGTCTATTGGTCATGAACTTTCTAGTCCAGATAGTTACTGTGTCATTCATGATGGTGGCTGACCTTCAAGCAGCCAAGGAGGAAAAGCAGTTTTTTCATTAACAGTGTTTGAGAAACCTATGTTGTAGCAGAACAGGCTGTACTCATAACTATGTTAGGGTTGTTTTGTAGTTTCCAAAGCAGTGAGCAGGGCCTGAAGGCCATAAAAATCCCCTAAGAGTGGCTGAGGGATAATTGACATACTTAGCAGACACTCATTCCATATAGACAAGAGTAACAGCTCTGTTTCTTTGTGGAGTCTGGGAAAAAAACAGAAAACTGCACTTCCAACTTAAAAGATGCCATGTTATCTCCATAAGATAAGTTTCTATGCACAGACACTTTAGAGCTTTCAACCGTGTCTGTTGAAGCCTTTCCATGATCTCATGTGACTCCCATTCTGAGGATGAAGAACAAGTTGAAAAGTGGAATGACAATTTTGTTTTTTAAATCATGCTAATTTAGCCACAATGATACAAAATACATGTATGCATCAATGCAAGCCTCTCAAAATTATATGTTCCCTGAGTCCTTTCCTCTACACTCTTAGGATTTTTTTTAATGAATAGTATGAAAAGAAGGGTGGTTCTCTGCAATCTAGCAGTCACAACTCTGAAGGCAACTGTTTCTCTAAGAGGGGAGTCCAGCTCCAGGCCAAAATCCTGTGTTATCTTTCATGCCCAAACCACAGGCAATTATACAGGCTTTGCCTGGAAAGCCCTATGGGGGAAAACTGCCCCTCCCCGCATCAGACTGGGTGGACAGCCTGTGCATCCAATCTCTGGAGGGAGTTGCGGTCAAGAATTCAGTTCCCCTAACCTCTCCCCTCCCTCCAGACTCCTGGCTGGCCATGCTCACATGCATTTCTGCATTCCTAGCCCAGGTGCCTCTGTTCTGAGCTCTCTTTACTGAAGGGCCTTGACAGAGGCTCTTTTCACCTCTCCTTATGGGGCAGGGAAAGCCTTAACTGAAATACTTTTCTCCAGCCTGACCCTACTTTTTGACTCCTAGGCCTTCTCCTAGGCCCATGAAACAGTAGAGATCTTTTGTGCCAGGCTTCTCAAGCCGTGAGAGGCTTCCTCCCATCTGTTCTCCATGTCACTGATGACTCTTGCCTGGTGCCATTCCCTGGGGAAAATGGAACACTGACAACCCAGCCTTTTTTCTTTCTGGCCCCTTGCTAATACTATTGCAGTAAGTGTATAAAGCCTAGATTGTTTATTTCAATTTGGCTTGGTGGTCTAACTGACCACCTCAATGCCTGTCATCTCAACACTAAGGAGATGGGATTCTGATTTTGTTTCCTCCTAGCAAAATATAAATATCATTGAAAAATTAAATGGAGCCTGGTCAGTGTGGTGGAGTGGATTGAGCGTCATCCCATAGACGGAGAGGTCCCTGTTCGGTTCCTGGTCAAGCGCACATGCCCAGGTTGTGGCTCGATCCCAGTAGGGGGAATGCAGGAGGCAGCTGATTGATATTTCTCTCTCATATCAGTTTCTGTCTCTCTCTCTCTAAAAAAATCAATAAAAACATATTTTAAAAAATTAAATGGAATTGTGCTTTGGTTATCTTGCACTGGCAAATCTATTTGATCACTTCCTAGCAACAAAATTTTATAATTAACCTGTTTGTAATATTAACTCAAACAAGAAGCCTATGTTTTTCCATGTTAAATTAATAGCCTCATTTGATATTGAAGATTGGTTAGTTGAAAGGTAACTACAACTCTAAAGAAAAAAATTTGAATTTTCTCTGATTCTAAAAGGGAAAGAGATTTCCCCCTCCTTCTCTTGTACCATTTCCTTTGGAAAACTTGTAGCTATAAATCCTGTCTCTGTCTCTTTAAGAAGAATGTAAATTTTTAAAGATTTACATAAGCCTCTTGCCAATTTTACATTCTAGGAATGTCTGCCTCTGAGCCTTGAAACCATCTCTTTGCATACAGACATTAGGGAGGACTGTGCTTTGTTTCCCTTCCTCTATTAGAGGTTAGCCTAGACTCCTGGCTCTAAATAGTAACTTTGTGCTTGGCTAAGGATATGAGAAGTTTTCTTTTTCCTTTGGATAAAGACAATCCACATGTAATGGACAGTATCTGCCTGGCTGTATATAAAAAGGTGAGATCTTCCCTGGCCGGTGTGGCTCAGTGGTTGAGCATTGACCTATAAACCAAAAGGTCACCGGTTCGATTTCCAGTCAGGGCACATGCCCAGGTTGTGGGCCCGATCCCCAGTGTGGGGCATGCAGGAGGCGGCCAATCGATGTTCTCTCTCATTGATGTTCCTATCTCTCTCCCCCTCTCCCTTCTTTTCTAACATCAATAGAGAAAAAAAAATTTTTTAAAGGGTGAGATCTCACTTTCTCTTTATCATCTCTTTAGCAGACTGCCCATAATACACATCAGTCTGGTTGAATGTTTATTCAGTACTGAAACTTTATTTTTTCTATATATGGGGAAAGGATTCATTGGGTTGATAAGAGATTTTATTCTTAATTATTTCCCCAACATCAATTGTTTGAAAAAGTATTCTACCTCTGCCACCTAAGAAAATAAACACTTGCAATGTTTTACCTTAAACATTTTTTTTTTTCTTTATTTTTTTTAATCCTCACCCGAGGTTATTTTCTCAAATATGTTCAGGCAGAGTGTGTGTGTGTGTGGGGGGGGTGTACAGACAGAGAAACACCGATGTGAGAGGGACACATTGATTGGTTGCCTCCCACACAACCCCATAGAGGGCCAGGGTCAAACTGCAACTGAGGTACATACCCTTGGCTGGAATCGAACCCACACGCTCTAACCGCTGAGCAAAACCAGCCAGGGCTAAAAAATATTTTTTTCATTGGGTGTTTCACTTGGTAGTAATTATCAGTGTGGTGGTTATGAGTGTGAGCTTTGGAGTAAAAATGGTTGGATACAGTCTGATTTCTTTCAAAGTTTTACATACCACCTGTATGGTGCAAGTTATCTAACACTCCTAATGCTGTTTCCACATCTAGATACTATAAAGTTCCACACCTAAAACAAAATAGATTTTCTAAATTCCAAGTTTAAATTTGTAATAAGAATAATTTCTTCAAATTCAGAAGAAAAATATGGCAGAGATTGGGTTCTGAATCATAATTTTAAAGGCTAACAGTGAAAAGTGAATCTAAAGACCAGAGCCTAAATGAACAACACAACACATATTTAGTTAATTCCTATTTGTGGTAGTTATGTTCTACAAAGTCAGCATAAACACTAAATTAGCAAAGACTAAACCACTGCTCCGGCAATACAGGGTCAGGTCCCTGCATGCATCTAGTCGTATTTCCTCAACTGATCAATATATAACCTAGTATTATGTGTGTTAATGTTTAAAGACACAGCTAACAGCCCAACTGGTGTGGCTCAGTGGGTTGAGTGTTGTCCTACGGACTGAAAGGTCCCGGTTTAATTCTTGGTCAGGGCATATGCCTGGGTTGTGGGCTCGATCCTCAGTGAGGGGTGTGCATGGAGGCAGCCGTCGATGTTTCTCTCTCACATTGATGTTTCCACCTCTCTCTAAAAAAAAAAAAAATCAAAAACATATTTTAAAAATTAAAAAATACTCAGGCTTAACTGCTTATTCAGGTCTTCATTTCCTTACAGAGGCTCCTATGTCATGTAACATTTATATTCAATAAATCTGTATGCTTCTCATGTTCATCTCTTAATCAGTTTAACTTTCAGGCCCAGCCAGAGACCCTAAAAGAGCTAATGAAAAGCTTTCCTTCTCCTACACTTTCTTCTCTGACTTTTTACCTCTCTATATCCTCCTTTTACTAACTGCTTCTCAATCAATTTTCCCATCCTGGTTAATGTACCAATAATTACCTAGTTATTTGGGCCTAAAACTTAGGAGTTTTGAGCCCTTCACCCTCCCCTCCCCCACTTCAGCTACCTATATTCAATCCATCACCAAGTCCTATTAGTTCTACCGCTAATACTCTGAACACTTACAATCACCTCCACTACTTGCACCTTTGATCATATCACTACCACCTCTTGTCCAAAAACTCACACAACACCAACTCATACATTATTTTACATTTAGTACTTCTATATCAAATCTGTCTTATTTGTCATTTTCAGTCCTTCTCCCTTCATGTAAACCTCCATGAGGGCAGAAACCTTTTCTATGTGGTTTACCATTATAATTCCAGTATGCAGAATGCCCATGCAGACAGTAGGAGGTATCACAGGTACCCAAAATGTCAAGCAATAGAAAGAAAAAAATATTAATTGAATGAATGAATGCAGCTATCCAAACCTCTCATTTTCCTCTCTCACTCTCTATTTTAACTCAATATATAATTCTTGGGTACCCAGAATACTTGCCTTTCACTGTGGCATGTGTTACCACAGGAAGAAGGAAACACAGCTGTCACTAAAAATTGAATCAACTTATGCTAATATAATTGATTTAATACATCTAATACATAATTAACTCATATAGTTTTCAAAATGTTCCAGGCCAGTGCTCCCTCAAGTCTCATTCCCTTGAACCAAAGAGTACACATAGATAATCTTTAGAAAATACTATCACCACTGGAGAACAAATTTTTTTAATCTTCTCTGAGTACATGCTTTTCAAAAGATACAAGTGGTGAATACAAATGGCTCACTGCATTCATTCTGGTACTTTTAAAGTATGATGAGACTATATATTCTTTAGGTCATGGCTACCACAAACAAAAATTTGGGGCTTGTCATTTCTAATTTCAATGATTCTTTTACAATTCCTCCATGACTCCCAAAGACAATTTTCTAGTTAAAATCTTGCCCTTTATTACATCAAGCAAATAACTTTTTCTTGTTCTTATTTAAGATGAATATATAGCCAAATCCAACAGTATAGAAATTGTTTTCAAACTGTGGAACCAGAAATATCCCCTTTTAATGTCATTTCCCTCCATCAGCCTGGTAATTTCAAGCCAAGCCCACTATGAGGTAAGGTGACAGGTACAAAAGCCTAATAAATTTGTAACTTTGGTAAAATATAATTACTTGATGCTTTTCTTTAGGGCTTTCTCCAGTTTCTTCACCTGTTGTTTATAAAGTCTTAATTCATGCTGTGTGGGCCTGCAGAAAATAAATCATGTTGAATATATTCAATTTATTGAATAAAACTGTAAATATATTTAATAATAAACAATAGAGTATACTTTGTTACTTGTCACAAATATGCTTATTAAAATTCTTAAAATATTTCATGCCTGCTAGTGTTCATTGGCCACTGGATTTCTTCTCTGTATTCCCTATTCAAAATTTTATACCCGTTTTTATTATTGTTAACCTATTACTTGTTTTTATACTGAAATATTTCAAATGTACAAGAATAATAAAAAAGTTATTTTACAAATAGTCTTATTATATAAAAGTTGAATGTTAACAGATTTCCTTTTAAACTTATTTTTATTGTTGAATGTATTACAGATGTCCCCTTTTTTCCCCCATTGCCCTCCTCCTGTCTTCCCCACACTATTGCCATTGGTTATGCATTTATGCATAGAAGTTCTTTGGTTTATCTCATCCCGCCCTCCCTCCCCACTTCCCTTTGAGGTTCATCAGTCTAACAACCAATTTGTACTTCTTAATTCCTTCACCTTCTTCACCCATCTCCCCAACCCCCTCCTATCTGGCAACCAAGAAATAGTCTCTGTATCTATGAGTCTGTTTCTGTTCTGCTTGCTCATTTTGTAGATTCCATTGTTGATAGATATGTATTTATTGCCATTTTATTGTTCTTATTTTTATTGTTGTTCTTCTTCAAGAAGATCCATCAACATTTCATATAATGTTGGTTTGGTGGTGATGGACTCCTTTAGCTTTTTCTTGTCTGGGAAACTCTTTATATGTCCATCACTTCCCAAAGCTTTTTTTTTTTTTCCTTTACTAATTTGAGAGAGAGAGGAAGTGAGAGGGAGAGACAGACAGAAACATCGATGAGAACACTGACTGGCCGCCTCCAGCATACCCCCACGGGGGACTGAGCCCACAACCTGGGCATGTGCCCTGACTGGGAATCGAACCAGTGACCTTTTGGAGCATGGGTGAATGCTCAACCACCAAGCCACACCAGCCAGACGAATAGGGTAATCTTGGTTGTAGGTTGTTGCCTTTCATTTGAACATCTCTTGCCACTCCTTTCTGGCCTGCAAAGTTTCTTTTGAGAAATCAGCTGACAGTCTTGGGAGCTCCCTTGTAGGCAACTAACTGCTTTTCTCTGGCCACTTTTAAGATTGTCTTTAACCTTTGGCATTTTGAGTATGATTGTGTCTTCATATGGCCCTCTTTGGGTTCATCTTGTTTGGGACTCTCTGTGCTTCCTGGACTTGTATGTCTGTTTCCTTCACCATGTTAGAGAAGTTTTCTGTCATTATTTTTTCAAATTGGTTTTCAATTTCTTGTTCTCTCTCTTCTCCTTACAGCACCCCTATGATACGAATGTTGGTATGCTTAAAGTTGTCCCAGAGGCTCCTTGCACTATCCTCCTTTTTTTTGGATTCTTTGTTGTGATTGGGTATTGTTTTTTGTGTGGGTTTTTTTGCTTCCTTATATTCTAAACGAATGGTTTGCTTCTTAGCTTCACCAAATCTATTGATTCCCTGTAAATTATTCTTTATTTCAGTTAGTGCTTCCTTCATTTGACTTGTCCTTTTTTACGCTCTTCAGGTTCTCAATAAGTTCCTTGAAATTCTCACTAAGTTCACTGAACATCCTTATAACCAGTATTTCGAACTCTGCATCTGTTAGATTGCTTATCTCCATTTTATTTAGTTCTTTTCCTGGAGTTTTGTTCTGTTCTTTCATTTGGGACATGTTTCTTTGTCTCCTCATTTTGACTGCCTCCCTGTGTTTGTTTCTGTGTATTAGGTAGAGTTTCTATTTCTCCTAGGCTTCCTAGAGTGGCTTATTATAGTAGGTGTCCTATAAGGTCCAGTGGCACAGCCTCCCTGGTCACCCCAGCTGGGCCCTCGAGGTGCACTCCTTGTGTGAACTGTACACCCTTCTGTTATAATTGAGTCTTGACTGCTGTTGGCACATCAATGGAAGGAATTTACTCAGGCTGATCGGCTGCAAGGATGGGCTGTGCCCACTGACCACTGGCCTCTGACTACCTTGGAGGATCAGCTGTGCAGGGCCCACCAAATCTACTTCTTGAGTGTGTCGCTTGTGGAGGTGGTTGGGTGGTGGTGCTTCGATGTGGTCTGAAGCTATCCATTGGGTGTGCTGGCTCTGAGGCAAAGTCAACCTCTGTGTTCTACCTGGGACCACAAGGCATAAGCTACAAAGCGATCTACAGACAGCTGCTTCTTGTGCTGGTTTGGAGGTGCCCAGGCAAAGCCAAGTTGTGAACCAAGGCTGGCTGCTTCTAGTGCCAGGCCTGGGGCCACTTAACCAGAGGTATGGTGCTCACTGAGACCAGATGCTGTTTGTTTGAGAGAATTTAGGAAAATCGGAAGCAAGAGCCAAGACAGGCCAATCCTATGGTAAAGCCACTGGAAACAACTTGGGTGGGCCTGAAAGTTGGGTAGGGCAGTGTCTCAGGGAATCACTAGGGTGAGCCAAATAGTGTGAGCCAGGTTGCTGGAGTCCGAGATATGGCGGCAGTCTGCCTGTCCCTTGGGGGAAGGGCTCACCAAAGGAACAAAGGCCTCTACCAGCACATTAGTCCAGGAGAAAGCTACCTCTCCAGCTCTCACCCAATGCCAAACAACTCAGTTCTTCCCCATATGTCTTCTGGTGCCTTTCAAGCTGCCTCCCCCATGCTGGGGCCTGGAGAGAGTGGGTCCAAGAAAGTCCCTGCACGAGCTCTTTAAGAGGAACTGCCCGGGACTCTAGAAGCCTCAGCCTCTTTCAGCCTCAATTCCCACTGGTTTTTACAGCCAGAAGTTATGGGGACTTCTCTTCCTGGTACTGGAACCCTGAGCTAGGGAATCTAGTGTGGGATGGGGACTCTTTGATCCTCAGGAAGGGCTTTCCCAGCCAAGGTAGCCTTCTGATTTTTATCTTCCACACGTGGGTGTGGGACCGGCCTGTCCACGCCTCCACCCTTCCTACCAGTATCGACATAGATTCTTCTTTAATTTTTTAGTTGTAGGACTTTCATTCAACTCAATTTCAGGCGGTTCTAAATGATGGTTGCTCTGTAGTTCAGTTGTAAGTCTGATGTGGTTGTGGGAGGAGGTGAATACCTATGCTGCCATCTTGACCAGAAGTCTCAAATTTCTTATCTAACATTTTATACATATACTTAAAACTCCCTGTGTGTCCTTCATTAATGTCATTCCTCTCCTTTGCATAACACAGGTACCACTATCCTGAATTCATTGTTCATGATTCCCACGCATGTTTAAAAATTTTTACTATATATTTATAAAATCATAAATTTACATACTACTATGTGGCAGGTTGTTAAAATTTATATAAGTGGTTTATACTGTAGGTATCAGTCCCCTCTCCATTAAAGTATAAGCTTTATGAGAACAAGATATTTGTTTTGGTCATTATATTATACTTAGAGCTTAGGTTAGTGTCTAACTTACAAAAGGTGTTCAACAAATATTTGCTGAATGAAAGTCTCATCCCTTATTACTCACTGTATACATGTAGAGTTTATCCTTTAGTGGTAGTATGCTTCTAAAAATATACTTTTCTGTTGTATGCCATTTAAACTTTTTAGTTTTCTTCTCCTCCCATAACACAGGGATAAGATTAAATAATATATTCTAAAGGAATTTGGGAATGGAAACCTGCTAGTATAAGGCTAAATCTACTCTGAGTTCCTACCCAGTTTTATCTTTTCAATGTGGACTCCTATTTTTTCACTTCCCTTGCCTATCTATCTGTTGTTCTTCCTTCCATCATGAGAGACAACTGACTAAAATGAACGTAAGAGCATGAATTTCTCCAAGATGAATTTTAGAGCAAAAGGGCTAGAATGACTCATAAACATTCCAAATTCCAGCATGTGTTTCCTTTCCAAGGGCTACATAAAAATGACTTAAGTTTCTCTCACCTGGTTTCCAAATCTTTTTGGAGATTCAGCTTTTCACTTAAAAGTGCATCAATCTTAGATTTTGATTCCTTCAGTTGATTCTGTAATGACTGCAACAAATTTCATTAAAAAAATTAACTTTCCTAGATGATTATTTAACTTTATAAAAACATATTTATGAGTCATGTAGTCCCTATACCGTTAGAAGGCCTTTATAAGTTGGTAAGGCACCAAGACTTCCATAGTCTTCTTCTGACTGACTTTCATCTTCTTTATATTGCCTATGAAAAAACATATGCAGTATACTTATGAAAAATCTATCTTCAAAGAAAACCTAGCTAACATAAATTAAATCAATCCAATAAGGGCTTGATAACCCAAATATGAATTAAAGTTTAAACCAAATTTCCTACTTGTTCTCATAGAGAATGGTATTAAGTATTAGGTACTAATATCTAACAGTATAGTATATCTCCTCACTATCACCTTAACTAGAATATAAGATCCATGCAAACCAGAACTTTGTCTTGTTCACCATGGTTCTCACATCTATGTTTCCTTGTCTAGAAGAGTATGGGGCATAAGAGTGAGTGGAAAAACACCTGTTGAATGAAAAAAACATACAAAGCATACTGTTTTTCCATCTAGTACTTTTAGGTCACCAAAAACATTATATGAAAAAATGTAGAGTATAAGTGGACAAAGCAACAGACTTAATAGTCCTGATTCAAGTACTGACACCACCATTAACCAATTGTCTTATTTGAGTAGTAGGTCAATCTCTCAGATTTGTGTTTGCATCTCTCAGAGACACTATCTGTCATATATGTCTCACATGATTGGTGTTAAAAGTAAACAAAATGTATTAAAGCTCTGTGAACTACAAAGTACTACTAGTAAATCAGTATTATTATTTTTAACAATTCTGATGCATTAACACTGGGCTGTCCAATATGGAAAACCCTAGTACATATGGCTAATGAGCGCTTGAAATATGGCTAGTGTGACTAAAGAACAAAATTTTTCATTTTAATTAAAATTAAAATTTTAAAACTGAAGTAGTGTAAAATATTTTTCTGCTAAACACAACTTGATCGTTTAGAGCTACATTCCACTTTGCTGCATCACGTTAAGATATTACTGCTATAGCGTAGACTGCACTGGGTGCATTTGTGGCTTTTAACACTACATACAAACACACCACCAGTCTAGTTAGGGTCAATGGATTGATTCAGTTTGAATGGTTTTTCTTTCCTATAAACACTTATAACGTAATATGTTTATTCTGATACCGTGTTTATGGTAATACCTATATGAATCATAATTCATCATTAAATTGAGCTCTGGCCGGTATGGCTAAGCTGGTTGGAGCATGGATGGTCTCATACACCAAAAGGTGACCAGTTTGATTCCTGGTCAGAGCACATACCCAGGTTGCAGGTTCAATCCCTGATTGGGACATGTATGGGAGGCAATAGATCAATGTTTCTCACATCTATGTTTCTCTCCTTCTCTCCCTTCCTCTCTCTAAAATCAATAAAAATAACAACATTGATATATTATTTTAAGAACTAAACTACTGACTTCTTCAACCTCTGCCGCCGCCACCGCCACTGCCGCTGCTGCCAACTCCCAGGAAGAAAGCAGCAGAGGAGCCCACATCGCCTGCCACCCAGGTGCGCCAGTCGCGCTGCCCCAGGAGTATAAGATGTTCACTTGCACCAAGCTCTCCTGCAACCCTGCTCTGATCCGAACTGGATCCAGAGTTGTGTACAGACCAATTTCTGCATCAGTGTTATCTCGACTAGAGGCCAGGACTGGAGAGGGCTCTCCAGTATTTAATGGGGCCCAGAATGGTGTGCCTCAGCTAATCCAAAGGGAGTTTCAGACCAGTGCAATCGGCAGAGACATTGATACTGCTGCCAAATTTATTGGTGCAGGTGCTGCAACAGTAGGAGTGGCTGGTTCTGGTGCTGGTTTTGGAACAGTCTTTGGCAGCTTATCACTGGTTATGCCAGAAACCCTACGCTGAAGCAGCAGCTGTTCTCATATGCTATCTTGGGATTTGCCGTGTCTGAAGCTATGGGTCTCTTTTGTCTGATGATTACCTTCTTGATTTTGTTTGCCATGTAACAGAAATTACTGCTTGAAATGTTGGCATTCATATTAATTATGGATGTAGTTCTGTGTACCTTACTGTGACTCCGAACACTGTAGTATTGATGTCATGGAAATAGACATTATTTCCAAAGTCATTACATTAAAGATGAAAACTTAAAAAAAAAAAAAAAGAACGAAACTACTTTTACAATTTAAAAAATAATTATGGGCAGATTTTTACCAGAATCCAGTAGAAATAACATCTGAGACTATACAACAAATGGGACAGTAAAGAGGCTGAAAGAAGGCAAGGCATAGGTTTCCTGATGAATGCTACTTTAATTGGCTGCAGAACAAAGTGAAAACGCTGTTGGTTCAAAGTGACTAAAGAAAAAAAACAGATAAGTTGAACTTCATAAATGTTTTTTAAATTCTTGAGCTCCAAGGACACCATCAAGAAAAAAAAACAACCCACAGGAGAAAATATTTGCAAATCTGATAAAGAATTTGTATCCAGACTACATAAAGAACTCTTACAACTCAACAATAAAAAGACTAATAACTCAATTTAAAATCAGGCAAAGGATGCCCGGCCAGTGTGGTTCAACTGGTTGAACATCCATCCATCCCATGCACCTAGAGTCACTGGTTCGATTCCCAGTCAGGGCACATGCCTAAGGTTGCAGGCTCGGTTCCCCAGCAGGGGGCATGCAGGAGGCAGCCAATCAATGTTTCTCTCTCTCTTTCCCTCTCCTGTCCTCTCAAAAACCAATAAAAACATATTTAAAAAATATTAAATCACACAAAGGATTTGAATAGACATTTCTCCAAAAAAGATATGCAAATGACAATAAGCATATGAAAATACCCTCACCATCACTAGTCCTTAGGAAAATGCAAATTAAAACCACAATATACCACTTAAAAACCACAACTAAAATTAAAAAGATAGGCAATAACAAGTGTTGATGCAGAAAAATTGGAACCCTCATATATTGCTTGGTAGAAATGTAAAACAGAAACATAAAATGCAGCCATTTTGTAAAACAGATTAGTAGTTCCTCAAAATGTTAAACATTTAGTGTTACCACATGACCCAGCAATTCCACACCTAAATATATATCCAAGAGAAGTGAAAATTTGTCTACACAAAAACCTGTAAACAAATGTATGCACCAGTATTATTCATCATAGCTAAAAAGTGGAAACAACACAAATGTCCATCAACTGATAAAAGGATAAACAAAATATGGTATATCCATATATTAGACTTATTCAGACATAAAAAAAGTATGAAGTACCGATATATACTATAACATGTATGAGCCTTGAAAACATTATGCAAAGTAGCAGTCAGTGATCAATGATCACATACTGTATATGATTCCACTTATACAAAATGTCCAAAACAGAAAAATCTATAAATGTAGAAAGTAGATTAGTGGTTGCCTAAGGGTTGGGTTGCAGGCAAGTAGGGATGCAGGTCAGGGAGCAGATGAGGAATGACTACTAATGTGTATAAGGTTTCTCAATAGGGTGGTGAACAAATTCTAAAACTGATTATGGTGAAATGACACAGCTCTAGGAAGATACCAAAACCACTAAATTGTACCTTTAAAATAGTGACTCTTATGGTATGTGAATTATACCTCAATAAAGCTATTTTAAAAAGTTGTGTTTTTTTTTATTTTTTTTATTTTTTATTTTAGAGAGAGAGGAAGGGGGAGAGAGAGAGAGATAGAAAAATTGATGAGAACATCGATTGGCCGCCTCCTGCATGCCCCTCCTCCCTGCACTGGGGATTGGGCCCACCACCTGGGCATATGCCCTGACCGGGAATTGAACTGGCGACCTCTGGGTGCATGGGTTGACACTCAAGCACTTAGCCACACGGGTTGGGCAAAAAGTTGTTTTTTATATAAAAATATTTGATAATAGATAGTGTTAAAAGGCATTTTCAGTAAATACATAGTCAAAAAAGCACTGAAGTTAGCCATCAAAATCAGAATTAACCATCCAACAAAAACTTTCAAAATAATTTTTTAGTAGAATCTGAACTTGTAACTTTGACCAGCTATAAAACACTTTGAAATTTTGCACAAAAAAACAAATTATTTTTAGATGTAAAGATAGTAAAATAAATTATTTCAGTTACGAGAATTTTGTAGGAAAATAAAACATTTTATAAAGAGTGAAAGATCTTCAATTAAACCCCAACACCACCTGTAAAATGCAAGACCTTTTGCCCTGATTTGGCTCAGCAGATAGAGCGTCAGCCCATGGACCAATGAGTCGCAGGTTCAATTCTAGTCAAGGGCAGGTACCTCGTTTGAGGTTCGGCCCTTGTTGGGGTCGTGCAGGAGGCAACCAGTCGATGTGTCTCTCTCACATTGGTGTTTCTCTCTCCCTCTTTCCCTCTCTTCCCTTCCACTCTATCTGAACAAAAATGGAAAAACACCCTCAGGTGAGGATTAAAAAAAAATACAAGACCTTTATTATAATATCAAAGATCAGTTAATTTGCCCTGGCCAGTTGGGCTCAGCAGTAGAGCGTTGGCCCATGGACCAGTGAATCATGGGTTCGATTCTGGCCAAGGGCATGTACCTCAGTTGTGGTTCATCCTCAGCCCTGATCAGGGTCGTGTGGGAGGTAACCAGTCGACATGTCCCTTGCACTTCGATGTTTCTCTCTCTCTCTCTCTCTTTCTCTCTCTCTCCCCCCCCCCTCTTGCCCACTCTATCTGAAGATAAATTTAAAAAAAAAAAAAAGATCAGTTAATCTAAAATTTGAAAAATTTCAAGTATTTTTCTTTATCTTCTGATGAATCATGCACCCAATTAATACTTTCGGAATGTTTTGTCTCAAAAAGACTTCCAAATTTACCAGGGAATGTTGGCAACTTAGGACCTAAAATAATCAAACTTGTGGTGTATGTGTCTTTGAATTTTATATATCTGTCAAAGAAGAATTTCAGCTATATATTAAAAAATCATTTTTTATTGCAATGAAAGGTGCTCCAGCTTTGTCAGGTCAAAAATACAGATTTATTGGAATTTTAAAAAAGACATGTTTCTTTTGATGCTGTTATACTGTGTAATACATACAAATTAGAAATATGTGTGCTCAGTTTTCTGAAGCAAACATAAAAAGTGTCATGTATACAGTTGTTGAAATTATTCAACACATGCAAAAGCTGTGCCAGTTTGTGAAACCGTTGAAACAAATAGAAGACAATGAATTTAAAGATCTGTTTTTTACCAATGAGTGTTGGTGGAGTCATGGAAGTTGCAAAGATTGCAAAGATTTACTATACTGTTTAATCTGAATTCTAGCGAAAAAACTGTTCAATAATCACACACACAAAAATGATTGTGATTTATGTTTTTTTCACCAATATCACTCTACATATGAGTAAGCTAAATTGAAGCTCCAAAGAAAGAAAAAGCATTATCTGTAATTAGCTCATAGGTATGAGAATTTATACTGAAATGGAAACTTTTCATAATACAAATCAGGATTGATTTTACACATTTTTCTAATATGAGTCAATATGTAGACAATTTTAGTTTTAATCAGCAGTGCATGTAAACTGGCTATCAAAACTACAAGAAAACTTTGAGAAACTTTTGGTTGCTATTGATAGATTTAGAGTTGCTTTTCAATTTTGCAATACCCTTCCAAAGTAAGTAAGAGCTAGTAAATTTATTTGTTGGATATAGTTTTGAAACAGATACATCTAGATTCAAAGTCAAATCAATTATTCCAAAAAAGATAAACCAGTTTTGGAAATGTGGATACAAATATTAAAGAAAAAAATCTTTTTGTATTTGACTCAGTTGCTAGAAAACTTTTAGTTATGTTTAAAACCATTTGGATATATATACCTATTTTTCAACTGTAAACTTCATGAAATCTAACTACAGATCAAATATTTCTAGTGAAAATTTAGTGTCTGAATTGTGATAAGCTATAAGTTAAAATATTCATATTTCAATGACAATATCTCATTAATATTGTTCTTATTAGTTACATGTTGAAATGACAATATTTTGAATGTTCAATACAATATTAAATTAATTTCTTTTGTTTCTTTTTACTTTTTAACTTGGTTACATGAAAATGCAAAACTATATATGTGGCTTGTATTACATTTCCTTCTTTTAATGTTTTTTATTGATTTGAGAGAGAGAAAGGGAGGGGGAGAGAGAGACATCAATGAGAGAGAAACATCAATATCCATCAGCAATCTTCTGCACAGGATCTCGAAACCCAGGCATGTGCCCTGACTGGGAACCAAACTGGCAATTTCTTGGTGCATGGATCAATGCTCAACCACTGAGCCACACTGGCCGGGCTACATTTCTATTGGAGAGTGCTGTACTAACATATTCCTCAGGCCCTCTAAAACACTTTCTAGCATTGAACAAATGACCATATTAGGAAAGATGGTAATGATAAGAATGGCTAAGTAGCTACTATATAACAAGTACTAAGATAGATATTTTATATAAACTATTTCACATTTAACAGATGACCAAATAATGCTTAGAGGAGGTATATAACTTGCTCAAAGCCACACAAATAGTAAGTAGCAGCGAGATTCTGCAGTAAAAAGGAAGAAAAGTTTACTCTTTGCAACAACATGGATGGACCTGGAGAACATTATGCTAAGTGAAATAAACCAGTCAGAGAGAGACAAATACCATATGATTTCACTCATATGTGGAACTTAATGAACAAACTGAACTATCAAGCAAAATAGAGACAGACTCATAGATAGAGAGAAAGCAGACAGCTCTGGAGAGGGACTTGAGGGTGTTGGGGGAATTGAACACACAAGAAAAAGAGACAGAGAACTCATGAACATGGACAACAGTGTGATAATTTCAGGGATGGAAAGGGATGGGAGGAGGTGGAAGAGGGCACAGAGAGGATAAATGGTGATGGAAAAAATAAAATAAAATAAAATTTTAAATAAAATTAGGAAAGGGAATTATCAACAGACCAAGGGGCAGGCAATTGGAAATAAACTACAGCACAGCTACAGTACTTCGAGCTTTCTAAACCCATTTGGAAATTGAGTCAAATAAAAATGCATTTTTAAACAGAACTTTTGGTATGATTCATGACTGGATAGTAACTTTAAAAGTTGTAACACAGGATTAGTCTTACCTTTGTTTATGAAGTTTTCTAATTTTAGATTCATAGTAATCAATTAGGCAAAGCAACCTTGAAAACAAAATAAAATGAATTATTTTCAAAATGTGATATTGTAGCATTTACTGTTCTCTCTACATAATTTCAAGTTGCAGTGATAAATGTACAAATAATCAAGCAAGTTTGTAAAAACTGAAGTGGTTTTGCCAGAAGTATTATACTAAATCATATATTACTTTCAAAGCATACTTTTACAAATAACCACAAACACTATACCTCTACATATCAAATGTTATTCTCCTTGTCCCAACAGTTCTACCTTTAGCAATCACTCCCACAGAAATATCTGCCCATGGCTATAACTCAAGATGAACAAAATTGCTCACTGTGTCATTATTTAGAAAAGTGAAAACACAAAAACAATTTATTCTTCAACAGAGAAAAAGTTAAATAAATAATGGCACATCCATCCTATAGAAAATGAGAACCGAACCCAGGCCTCTATGGTCCGCAGGCCGACACTCAACCGCTGAGCCAAACTGGCCAGGGCAGAAAATGATAAACTATTAGAAGAAATAATGTGCCCTGGCCGGTTTGGCTCAGCGGTTAGAGCATCGGCCTGCGGTCCTGAGAGACCGGGGTTCGGTTCCCGCTAAGGGCGCGTACCTCGGTTGCAGTTTGTCCCCGGCCCTGGTCGGTTGTGCGGGTGGCAGCCACTCAATGTGTTCCTTTCACATCGATGTTTCTCTCTCTCTCTCTCTGTTCCTCTCTCTCCCTCCCACTCTACCTGAACAAAAAAAAAAATGGAAAAATGTCCTCAGGTGAGGATAAAAAAAAAAAAGAATAAATAATGTATATTTGTATGTCCTAATAAGAAGTAAAGAAAAAATTAATACTGCATAGCCAAATGTATACTACTAGTATTATTTTTCTTTATTGATTTGAGAGAGAGAGGGAAGGAGAGGGAGAGATAGAAACATCAATGAGAGAGAACATCAATTGGCCCCCTCCTGCCTGCCCCCCACTGGGGATTTGGCCCACAACCTGGGTATGTGCCCTGACTGGGAATCAAACTAGTGACCTCTCGGTGCATGGGTCGACACTCAACCACTGAGCCACACAGGCTGGGCAATACTACTATTTTTTTAAAGAAATAATTACACGTGATTTGGTATATGTATTGAAAAGAATGCTACAGGTTTGCCCTGGCCAGTTTGGCTCAGCAGTTAGAGCGTCAGCCCATGGACCAGAGAGACCAGAGTTCGGTTCCCGCTAAGGGCACACACCTCAGTTGCAGTTTGTTCCCCACCCTGGCTGGCGACGTGTAGCTGGCAGCCAGTTGATGTGTCTCTCTCACATCAATGTTTCTCTCTCTTCCTCCTCCTCTCCCTCCTGCTCTGAGGATAAATGCAAAAATGTTCTTGGGTGAAAATTAAAAAAAAGAATGCTACAGGTTCTAAACTGGAGGATAATACTATAACCTAGAAGACAGAGTTGGGTGCACAATGACTAGTTGGAGAGAAGGCAGGATATTAATTTTCATCAATAAACATGACAGCTCTACACTATAAAAAAACTGTCCCACCCCAAAAACCAACAGCATTCCTGTTGTGAAATACTAGGAAGGGCACAACCCAAACTATTAAAAGTGGTTATCTGGCCAGTCCGATGTGGCTCAATGGATTGAATGTCATCCCATGGTCTGAGAGGTCCTGGTTTGATTCCTGGTCAGAGCACATGCCTGGGTTGCGGGCTCGGTCCCCAGTGTGGGGCGTGCAGGAGGCAGTCGATCAATGTTTCTCTCTTACATTGATGTTTATCTCTCTCTCTCTCAAGAGCGCAATCAATAAAAACGTGTTTTTTAAACAGTGGTTATCTGTAGGACATGGAAGTTAAGAGGGGTAAGCAGGTCTATAACATGTTCCTTTAAACACTTTTATATTGTTTGAATTTTTATAAACGTGTACTGCTTTTGTAATTTAAAAAATCCTCAAAGAAAAATAACACTATACTATCCTGTTATGTATGTGTGTGTGTGTATATATATATGTATATGTGTGTGTGTATGTATTTTTTTGCATTTTTATCTTCAGATAGAGTCGGGCAGGGGGGGGAACATTGATGTGAGGGAGACACACCGACTGGTCACCACCCACACAACCTCAGCCAGGGCTGGGGGACAAACTGCAACCAAGGTACACACCCTTAGCGGAACCGAACCCAGGACTCTGGGGTCTGCGAGATGACGCTCTAACCGCTGAGCCAAACTGGCCAGGGCCTGTTATATTTTTTTTTTGAAGAATTCATACTATTTCCCTCCTATCTTACTCATCTCCTCCCTTCAGAACTAATTCAACCAACTGTGCTTTTACTATAACTTCTGGATTATTCTCTCTCTTCAACCTTTCCCCATCCCGACACTTAATAGCTTTCATATTATCCTTTCTATCCTTCACAAGTTCTTTCACCCTACATTTCCCCCTTATGCTACCATTCCATTTCTATCTTTTCCTTCATAGCAAACTTCATTCATTCTGGGTGATTGTCACTTGCTACCTTCGGTAACTTTTAGTGAGGAGTTATTATGTGTCAAACTAGGAATTCTGAGCAAATAAGACAGGAAGAAGGCAAACACATAAACTCATGAGGCAACATATAACATTCTTAACACTGTCTCCTTCCTTTAAAATATTTTTATTAATTTATTTTGGTTCCAGATGTCCCCCCCCCCCCCCAGACACCCTCCTCCAACATTGTCTCCTTGAAATACTCTGTTCCTTGGTTATTCTGACACTCAAACATAACTTCTCTTCTGCCTCTTCATTGTCTATCTGAAATTTGGAAGTTCTCTGGAGTGTGGTCCTTCTAACTGCAGCCCTGACATTTCTACATAGCTGACAGAAGGTCCCTAAGCACATGTCCATAAATGAACACATCATCTTCCTCCTCATTCCCTAAATTTAGCTTGAAATCTAACAATCCTTCTTTCAGCAACTATACCCAGTCAATCTGGACAATTTCTGTCCATCTCTGCAGTATCTCTCTTTTAGCCCTTACACAGGCCTTCATTATTTCCCACTTAGACTATTACAAGTCATTACTAACTTTCCTGTCTCTAGGCTTAATTTCTTTGCTCAGAAATCCTGGGGCTTTTTACCCTGATATATAGAGTATAGAACCCAGTTTATAAGATATATATATATAACCACTCCTAAGATAAATCAGTTTTTAAAAAATGATGAATCATATCAATTTATAAAGCAAACATTACTGTCTATCCAAGATGGTATGAGGAACTCTTTTGCAGAGATAAGAAAACACTCTGTTTTGAGTGACAATACGCTCTTCTTCCTCCTTTGTTAATCTATAGATATCCTTTTGCAAAGAAGCAATAGTCTCTTGTTGCTCCATTTGTTTTTTCTTATAATGATGACATTTAGCCTATAAGAAATTTTTTAAAAACATAATTATGATATGTACATCTAGGACATGCTGTCCTAACAATGTTGTATACAAAGCTATCTTCACAGTTTCTACCAAGCTGCTTCACTCAAGAACTTCAATACTGAGTCCATTTTAAAATGGGTACTAGCTCCAGAAACATTAATATGTCATCAATGCAAAAACGTAACAAGTAAAATATGAGAAATAAAATTTATAATTGCACTCATTCGAGGTTTCATAACAGTAAATGAATCTGAGAATCTCCATAAAACTAAAGTAAAAGGAAGGCCATTGGAGGGTTTTGAGCTACTATGTTGAGAGCACATTGAAAAGGCAAGGGGAGAAGCAGTGAGGCCGAGAGAGAAGCAGAAGAGAAATGAAGGTGACTTGGACCAGAGTGCAGACTAAAAGAAGAAAGTTTGGAGAGGAAATTCAGGAACTCTGTTTTAGACATGTGAAGTTCTAGATGCCTATTAAACATCCAGGAGAAATATCAAGTAGGTAGTAGGATATGAGTCAGGAATTAAGGGAAGAGGTCTGGACTATGTTTAAATTAGGTGCTAAGAATTAGACTGAGCATCACCAAGGGAGTTACAGTATATAGGGAAAAGGTCTAAGGAATTAGTACTAGGAAATCCCAACACTGAGAGGTTACGGAGATGAGAACTAGCGGTGGGATTAGAGGGAAACCAAAAGAGGAGATGTTCTAGAAACCAAGGGAAGAATCTCAAGAAGAAATAGGTCAAGAAAGGTAAAGACCACCAAATTAAACAACAAAGTTGTAACCTTGATAAGCTGTTTTAGTATTAACTATCATGTTAGAAAATACATAACTCAGTACCTGTAAAGCTTTATGCTCCTTCTGAAGATCTTTTATTTTATTCTGCTGCTGGCAAACCCTATTTAGGGATTCATCTTCCAATTCACCAATTTTGGATTTCGCACTCTCCATAATCTGTTCCAAGTCATTAGCTCGTTGTTCCTGATCTACTGCTCGACATTTTTCTAGCTGAAGTTCTTTTCTAATAACAGACAGACAATTCCTTCCTTAGTAATAACATAAATCACATCAACACAACCAATGAACAAAATGAATTTCTAAAATTTCTTTGCATTTTTAAAATTTCTATCTTATAACACAGACCGAGAGAAGAAATCTAGGGTACCATTACACTTCTAAGCTAAGATATTACCAAAAGGTTACCTATTAAACATATTAGTATTTGTAACCACTTGGATACAAAAAATTCAAGAGAGAGTTTTTTTTCCATTTTCTTACTTAAGCTGCTGATTAGTTTCTATGAGCTCCCGGATCATCTTCTGTTGACATGCTGTTTCTTCCACCAACGTTTTCAAGTTCTGTCTCATCGTTTGTGATGACTGTTTGTCAAAAATGATGAGATCTACATTTTAAAAAATTTAATACAAACAGTAAAAATAAAGGTAAGGCAGAGTTTAAGATTAAAAAAAAAACATTTTAAAAGAAAAAGAAGCTTTTTACCATAAGGGGCAAGAATAGGAACTGATTACCTTTAAGATCTGTTCTTTTGACTAGGCACAAAGGTTTTAAGCCATGTGTCATCAACAGCATATTTATGCTCTCCCATTCTGCTTCTTCCCGCTACAATTACAAAGGAGAGAGAAAAGGATCAATTTTATGATATAAAGTGAAGAAATACCCTCTTGTATATAATTTCCTTTGTTTTCAGAACAGAACTTTTTCTCCAAAAGTTTTTAATATACATTTTTCTGTACTTACAATAATTAAAATGAAAACAAAACAACTGAAAAAATACCTTGTATTTGCAGTGAACCCAACAGACCTTAAACTTTTTTGTTGTTGTTTAACTGAACCAGACTAGGTCCCACTCAAAATAAACAGCTACAAACTAGGTTATAGAAATTGAACAGTAAAGAAAAAGTGAGCCCTGGCAGGTTTGGCTCAGCAGTTGGAGCACTGGCCCGCAGACCAGAGTCACGGGTTTGATTCCAGTCAAGGCAAGTATCTCGGTTGTTGTTCGGTTCCTGGTCCTGGTCGGATCGTGCAGGAGGCAACCAATCGATGTGTCTCTCTCACATCAGTGTTTCTCTCTTTCTCTCCCCCCCTCCTCCTTCCCTCCCACTCTATTTGAAGATAAATGAAAAAATATCCTCAGGTGAGGATTTTAAAAAAGAGAGAAAAAAGGTGAGTCGCTTGGAAACAAGTGTCATTTTAACAATGACTAAGATTACACACATACTCCTGACTGGTTAAAGCTAATAATTTAGATAGTTCCTTGTATACTGGACATGGTATAACTATAAAAAAGAGTCTGTCTATCTAGGTAACTGATTGGAGTCGAATCACCCTAAGAGATACTCTCAAGTCTTGTATCCCTGATTCTAAGTATGTGTTTATGCCATAAAGCTGAGAGGGGAACTCTAGCTCTCTAGATTAAGCGAATAAAAACATAACAGCAGAAAGAAAAAAGTAATAAGGACATAAAATACAAATAGAAATAGAGATGACTTTCTAAATGACACATTTAAATCCATGATACTGATACAGTAGTTTTATAATAAGCTTTTAATGTTAAGTACAATGATCAATTTTGAAATCACTGTATGAAGTGCTTTGCCTGCATTTTAAGGTTTTTTTTTTTTGTTTTTTTTTTTTAATCCTCACCCGAGGACATCTTTCCATTTTTTTATACCGATAGAGTGGGAGGGAGAGAGAGGAAGGGAGAGAGAGAGAGAAACATCGACGTGAAGGGACACATCGAGTGGCTGCCACCCACACAACCAACCAGGGCCGGGGACAAACTGCAACCGAAGTACGTGCCCTTAGCGGGAACCGAACCCGGGTCTCTCCAGACCGCAGGCAGATGCTCTAACCACTGAGCCAAACCGGCCAGGGCTGCATTTTAAGGTATTAAAATATATTTGTAAAAAGGCAATGTAAGTAAATTTTTAATATTTAAATGCTTGAAAAATGTAATTTATACAATAAATACACTTTTATTACTGGTATAGTATGTAAATACCATAATAGCTTAATGGTTAATAATTTAGACACACAAAACACAAATAAAAATATTACTCTCACCCTGGCCAGTTTGGCTCAGCAGTTAGAGTGTCGGCCCGAGATCCAGAGAGAGCCGGGTTCGGTTCCCGCTAAGGGCACGTGCCTCGGTTGCAGTTTGTCCCTGGCCCTGTTTGGGTCGTGTGGGTGGCAACCACTCAATGTGTCCCTTTCATATCAATGTTTCTCTCTCTCTCTCCCTCCCAATCTATCTGAACAAAAATATCAAAAAATGTCCTTGGGTGAGGATAAAAAAAAAAATTACTCTCCACATCCAAATGCCCCTGACGTTATAGATTTTATCAAGACAAAACAGGAACAAATTACCCTGATGACTCTGTGACAACATTATGACATAGTACCAAATAAATCTTTCCTTTCTTTTTAAATTTTTTTTCTTTAATGATTTTTAGAGCGAGAGGAAGGGAGATGAAGAGACAGAAACATCCATGAGAAAGAACATCGACTGGCTGCCTCCTGCATGCCCCTCACTGGGGATTTGGCCCACAACCTTGGCATGTGCCTTGGCTGGGGATCAAACTGGCAATCTCCTGGTACATGGGTCAACACTCAACCACTGAGCTACACCGGCTGGGCTAAATCTTTCCTTTTGACTAATGACTTTCTTTCCCTTCTTTATCTTTTCTACACTTCTCCTCCTTCCCCAAACCTTTCCTCTATTTATGCTTAGATCTTCTGGTCACAAAGATTAATGACACAGAAATGAAATTATTACTGATAGCCCTGACCAGGTAGTTCAGTTGGTTAGTGTTGTTCTGATAAGCCAAGGTTGCAGGTTTGATCCCTGGTCAGGACACATAACAAGAAGCAACCAATGAATGCATAATGAAGTGGAACAACAAATCGATGTTTCTCTCAAATCAATAAACAAAAGTTTTTAAATAAAATTATTATTGATATCTGTTTTAGGAAGCAAAAGCTCTGTGTGGATGTCTAGTATGACTCATAAAAACAAAATACTTTATAAATAATAATGTCACAAAGTTTGAATGATCAAATTATACATGTCGTTCCCTGATACCTTTTAAGAGAAAGAATAACATAACTGTTTGCAAATTCTATAAAGAGCTAAGAATGGCATTTTCCAAAGTGTGTGGTGCAGAACACTAGCCTGATTTCACAATTTCATCAGACTAATGTTAAATAAGTAGGAAATGCTTTATACTAAAGCCCCATTTTAGAGACTGATAGTAGTGTGAAGCCTTAGAATAATGACATCATTTAATAGTCTTTAACCTGGCATTTCCCAAAATTATTTCACTAAATAAAAGAATCTTTTTACTTTATTTTTCAATTACAGTTTACTATTTTGTATCAGTTTCAGGTGTACAGCATAGTGGTTAGATAACCATATACTTTACAAAGTGTTCCCCCCAAAATTTCTAGTACCCATTTAGCACCATACATAGTTATTACAATATTATTGACTATATTCTTTGTGAGGTACTCTACATCCCCCAAAATAACCCTTTCCAAGTAAGATTTTTCACATTTGTAGATGTAGTATTCTTTGCCACATATTTTGAGAATCACTCGTTTCAAATATTTCAAGTTTACCTGTTTTTCAGTCATGAGGTCTGATGATTTACTGGACTCTTGGGCTTTAGGGGCTGCTGGAGATATAGTTTTGTTTGCAGAATCAAAGAAGTAGAGATTGGCGATGAAAAATTTTGAGTTGCCTAAATTAAAAGAGAAAAAAGTGAAATAGGTGTTAAGTGAAATTATATTTAAAAGAACCCACTACTCTTGAGCAATAAAACCCTTCTTGTGTCAAAATTTTTGTTACTTCTTAGAAAGCTAATTTAAAGAATGATTAGAATGAATCCTATCTTACAATATTCTCCTCTAGATATAAAATATAGGGTTTTACATACATATCAACACAAAGAAAAATATATGTTCTGACTAGATGTGATAAGCACATGATGCTAATAAGCTGTTATCTTTTTGAAACTGCTTCTCAAAAAACTTAAAGAACTGTGCCTGACCCAAAAGTTACAAGCCAGTCTAACAATTCACTGGACTAACTCCAAGGGTGAATAGAGTACCACTTTCTTGGATTTTATTTCTATGTAGATCAGAGGTTAGCAACAAAGGATTCTGCTTGACAGGTACACACCAAAGTTTGTATTCAGTCTAACCTACCATCACTTGCTCTTGATATCTAAGACACTACTTACTCTTTAGAAAAACATTTCTTTGGATTGTTTGATATAGGTATAAATCCTCCTCTCCAGAGGCACAATCCCACATATTCACTAGCATCATGGAATTTTAGAACTTGAGAGGGACTTGGAAATAGTTTAACCCCAAATCTCTAGCTGTTCATAGCTGGCAGAAAAGAGTGTAGGGAGGGTTGTATCTATATATCAGGTACCAGAGCCATCTAAGGCCCAGAGAGGTGAAATGATCTTCCCAGGACTGATTAAAGGTAGGCTTCCTTGCTGCCAGTTCAGTGTTTCTTCCAAAGCACCATTCTGCCCTTCTCTATCCGCTTCAGATAGTGAAATCCAACTAAACAATTTATTGGTCATAAATAATTTATTTTCAGTTAAACCTAGTAACATATTACAAATTCTCAAATGCTGCCATTTTTGCCGTTTCACATCAGTGTCCTTTCTCCCTTTAAACTCTGGTTTCTTTCAATGACTCAATCACTTAACTACGTTCAACCCCCCTGCCTTTATTTTAAACAAAGATCCTTTTAAAAAATGTCAGCCAACTTCAGCTGCTATCACCTTTCAGCTAGTTTTTTTTTTTAAAACTCTTCATTAGAGAAAATTTTCACAAATGAGTGTAATGGCCTGGCCAGGGTGGCTCAGTGGTTGAGTGTCAACCCATACACCAAGAGGTCACCAGTTCGATTCCCTGTCTGAGCACATGCCCAGGTTGTGGGCCAAATCCCCAGTGAGGGGCATGCAGGAGGTGGCCAACTGATGTTCTCTCTCATTGATGTTTCTATCTCTCTCTCCATCTCCTTTCCTCTCTCTCTAAAATCAATTAAAACAATTTTTTTTTTAAATGAGTATAATGAACACATGTATTCATCAATCCAGCTTCAACAATAACATTTTTCCATTCTTGTTATGCTTCTCCCTCATTTTATATTTCAGTATACTTCTCTAGCAAATACAGATTCATTATCACACCCAATAAAAACAACAGTAATTCCTTATTACCACTTGATATCTATCTAGTCCATCTTCAATTTCCCCCAAATGTCTTATTTTTTTCAAACAAGGTCCATATATAGCACTCTTAAGTTTCTTTTTATTTTTAACAGTCCCAGTCCTCTTTCTAACATGTCATTCATTTGCTGAAGACACAGGCCATTTGTCTTGCAGAGTTACCCACATTTCAGATTTGGTTTATTCCATTCTCATCATTGAACATATTTCTCCATCTTCTATATTTCTTGTAAACTGGTTTTATCTAGAAGCTTTATTAAATTCAGTTTCAGCATTTTTTGCCAAGAATAATTCAGAGACAGTGCTGTGTTGTTCCCACTGCATCACCATTAGGAATAAGCCAGAGTTTTGAAGTGGGAAGAAGACACTATGTAAACCAGACATAAGGGTATTAGACATCAATGAAAGAGAATCTCCCAAAGAGTGTGAAGCCACATATTCTAACAATCTTCCTAAAAGTCACCCTGGACCTCTCTCAAGTCTTCAAAGTGCCATCTCCCTCCACATTCAAGGCCTGGGAACTCAACCTCTTCTTCACTTAGTTAACTCATACTTGACCTTCAGACGTCGGCTCAAATTTCCTTCTTCAGGGAAATCTCCATGACCAGATCAGGTTCTCTCATTATATGCTCTTGTAGCACTAGAAAGAGGAAAGTATAGAAGTTTAGAGTTCAAAGTCAGAGGGCCTGAGTGACTACCAGCTTAACCATTTATTGAACTGTGTGACATGGACAAGCTCATTAATGTCTTTGAGCCTGGATTTTTTTCATTTGTAAAACAGAGAACATAATAATAATACCTACACCTTATAGGTTGAATTAAGTCAGACAACATGTAGAAAGTATGTATTACAAGTGTGTGGCAAATATAAATTTATAGATAATTGGTAGTTGTTATATATAAGTATGCTGAACAAAATGGATATTGCCTATTCATACTATCGTATATTATCTTAGACCTTTTTCTACAAATTACTCAGCTAACTATCTGCTATAAGTTGTTTTAAATTAATATGCCTAGGCAAAACTAAATCCATGAGATAAGTAGTCTACTTTTTGGTAACTCTGCCTCTAAAGACAATGAAGAAAGCCAAATAAAATGTTAATTTTTTTCTTAGAAGCATTAAAGAGCTAACAACATAATGAAGAATTAATAGGCCCCCCAAAAAATCAGGAAGATGAGAACCCATTTTTTTCCCTGAAGGCATCTGCCAAATCCAAAGAAAGAGCTATGAGAGCTAAAAAGCAAAGCCACCCTATTTAAAGGGCTACTGGAAGGGCTACAACTCTCAGGAGAAGGGTGAGCGAGAAGTAAATCACCTCTCCCATGAACTGCAACCTGGCTTCCCCTTCTCTATGTCATTCCAGTATCTCAAGAAGGTTCCAAATTAATAGTGCTTCCAAGCACATAGCAGAGCAAATGAAATCTCTGGGAAAAAGCCTCAAATTATCCCTACAAAAAAGTGTTTCAAGTAAAACATCCAGAAAACAGTCAAAGATAACCAAGGCATCCAGGAAACAAGACAAGAACAGAAGCAATAGTTAAAAGAAACCAACCAACAAAGACTTCTAATATTGTAATTACTAGGCACAAACCATAAAGTAACTACACTGACAATGTTCTTAAAAATAAAAACTTGAAGCTTCTGGCAGAGAACTATAATTGGAAAGAGACAAAACAGATTTGTAAAATAAAAACTTTAGAGCAAAAAAATTACAATAACTGAAATTAAGATCTTAAATCACAGGCATAACAGATTAGAAAGAGTAGAAGAGCCCTGGCCAGTTTGGCTCAGCGGTTGGAGCATTGGCCTGTGGTCCACAGAGACCCGGGTTCAGTTCCCGCTAAGGGCATGTACGTTGGCTGCAGTTTGTCCCCGGCCCTGGTTGGGTCATGCGGGTGGCGGCCAATAGATGTGTCCCTTTCACATTGATGTTTCTGCCTCTCTCTGCCTCTCTCTCCCTCCTGCTCTATTTGAATAAAAAAATGGAAAAAAAATGTCCTCGGGTGAGGATAAAAAAAAAAGAAAGAGTAGAAGAGAAAATTAAATGAACTAGAAGAGAAGTTAGAAGCAACAACTACCCACCTTTTTAGTTCTCTATGCTGCATTCAGGAAATCAGAAAAGACTGAACTTCAAATGAAGGAAATACTTGGCATCCAAGAAATAAAGGGAAAAATGGAGCAGAAGCAGCATTTGAAGATAAAACTAAGAGGTTTTGAGAACCCATGAAATACTTAAGTCCACAGATTCTAGACGCCCAACATAATATTACATCAGGATAGGAAGGAAAAAAAAACTCACAACTAGAAACATATTATAGTATTTAAACAAAAACAAAATCTTAAACACAATTAGAGAAAGAGATTATCTTCAAAAAAATGACAGAATGTCAGCTAACTTCTTAGCACTAACAATTGAAACTAAGAGTACACTAATATCTTCAATGTGTTAAAGAAAAATAATTGCCAACCTAAAATTCTAAACTCAGTGACAATATCCATAAATGATAAAGGAAAAGGATATTTTCAAACAAAACAAAAAGATACAACTGATCTGTTCTATAAAAAGTTCTGAAGATGCTTCATGCAGAAGATCCCTTGATAGAGAGAGAGCTGTAGAAAGGAATAAAGAGCAAATGGGGGAGTGTAAACACACTTTGCCTACATAAAATAATAAGATCTTGTGAAGTTTTAAAATATAACTAAAATTCAGTGACAAAAATGATGTGTATGAGAGTAAATAGAGTAACAATGTTCTAATTTTGTTTATAATCCAGGAGGAGAATAAAGGTACGTACTGACATCAGGCTTTTGCAAGTTAAGGATGCTTGAGAATTACCAGGATAACAACTAAAGAGTAAAACACAAATGTGTCATTTCCTAATTAATAAAGAGACCATGATAATGAATAAAAACAAATTCAAAAGGAGAAACTAAACAGAGAACAAAGAGAAAATACATAAGATAGCAGACTTAAACTCATATCAGTCATTATATTAAATGTAAATGGATTCAATGTTCCAGTTAAAAAAGAAAGACTGTCCAGTCGGATTTAAAACCAAAATATCAAACTATATGTTGTTGGAGGGAAAAAGACATCTAAAATATTAAAAAGTCCTAAAACATAAACATAAAGAATGGTAAAAGTAAAAGAATAAAGAAAGGACCAATGGCATGGTGACAGCATAGTTTAATCTTTGAATCCCTATATAAAAATAGAAGCAACTAGGTAGCAAAAACAAAAGAACAATATTTATATAAAAACAGTGACAAATTATTACCACAAACATCAAAACAGAAGTGGGTGGGGACAAATCACTAACAACCAGAAAAACTGCGGCGTATCAGCATCTATGTAGAAAGAGCAAAAAAATCCCAACAACACACAATACCTAACAGTTGAGGACAGGAGGATTCCCAAAGCATTGGTATTCGCTAATATTCACTACTGCACTAACATGAAAACAGCAGGTGAAACTGAAAGAGGTTTTGCCCTCTCTTGCCATAAGAAGGACTGAAAATGCCTGAGCCCTATAACACTGAAAATTGACATGCTAGGGCTTCATGACAGGACCCACAGTGAGAATAAACTTCTAGGAAGGGAAAATTGAACAAGACAGAAATGAGAGAAAGGAAGGGAAAGTTAAGACCAAAGTGAGATTGAGAACACAGCCAGGAAATCTTAGAAAACAAACTGCCATATTTTCAAACACTACACAAAAGCAAGAGAAAAGGGAAATCTGAGAAGTTAGAAAAGCCAGTATCCTGTGCTGAGTCCCTCTCCCATACTGCAGACACCATCTCTCTCGGCTGGGTGAACGCACTCTCCTTCTTATAGCATCAGCCTGGGGGAAGGCAACAGCCCCATGTTCTAGATTCTCTTTTGCACCACCCTGTGGAGCTCACACCCTGCTGAGGAATCAGCTGCCTGGGCCAGGGTGTAGAGGTTCAGGCAGACTCAGGAGGTGTCAGTGATTGAGTTGTGGGGCTTTGGAGAGGCATTGCCCCCACTTTCCCATGAACCTGACCAGTGGTGCCTCCCCTGCACAGGAGATCCACTAGCCCCACTCTCCTGGCTCCCAAAAGCTCTGCCTTGCTGAGCTGGAGCTCTCAGCAGAATCTGGGATGGACTGGGATGGACTGAGTTGCGTAGCTCTTAGGACAAGGCCATTTTTCCTCACCCCCCCCCCCCCCCCCCCCCCCGCCCAGTGCAGACCTTTCCTTTAACATGTCCAAATCTTGGTCTGTTTGGGGCTGATAAACTCTGTTGGCCTCACCCTGGCAACTTGCTGAGACCCCAACCCACCACAAAGGTCTATGGGCACCCAGCAGCTAAACTTGGTACACCCTGGGACTTCTGCTGAGTGGCCTAGACTTAGCACTGGCACCAAGTTTGAACCTGTACCAATCTGGTGAACACCACTTGCCCCTACCTGATGACGCACTGAGAACCTATCTTATACAACTGGAGTACCACCAGAGGCTCTTTTAGTGACTGAGCCTAACGGGCAGCAGGCAGGCAAAGGCAAGTAGAGGTGGATCTGAGAGTGCCTTGGGCCTTTTGCTGACCAGCCCTTGGGCTTGGTGCTGATGGAAGTCAACCTTGGTGCACAGCTTGGTCTCTCCTATGCACACCAAGGCCTAGCAGAGGCAGCCACAAACTGTGAGTCACTTCGTAGCTCCAAACAGGTTGCCCAGGGCCAGTCACAGGCAACATCTGGCATTAACCTGCTCTAGAGTCTCTGCCAAGAGGCCCCAGAACAAACACACCCAGTGACCAGCTTCAGGCAATATCAGATCAAGATCCAATTAGCTTCACAAGCAGCATATACAAAGAGAGATCTTATCAGGCATCAGAACCTACTAAAGCGAAATCCACTGTGGTCAGGATCAATCCTTACAAACAGACTGAGGGTCTTCCCACACACAAATGAGCCAATAGCAATCAAGACTCAATTACAACAGGAGATTTCACATAACCCACACAAGAAACATTCCTGGAGCACCCAGCTCAGGTGATGAAGGAGACTGAGCCACTGGACCCCACATGACACCTACTACATAAGGCACAAATTCCTAAAACTCTAGTATGGGTTTGAGAAGAAAGATATCCTGATTTTCAGCTGCTACAGGAGGGACAAAATGGCCATTCTGTAGAAGTACAGTTATGCAGCAAGGCCATGAAAACATCAAATGTTAACAATTCTGGCCATTTTGAGAAGTAATATAAATCTGGTTCTTCTAGCAGTCATAATGATAGTAGCAGTATAAAGCCACAGCTGCACACACAAGAAAAGCATCATGAAAAAGAAAGGTGGTCAAAAAGCTAACTTCAAGCAAGAAGATAAAGAACAGACGTAACAGATGTTACTGAGCGGTTAGGCAAGCAGCTTAGATAATCAGGAGAAAGCTGCTGCTTGTGAACTTCCTTTACAGAAAGTAAATACTCAAGATTTCTTTAAATAGTCCTTTGAGAGAAAAATTAGAAGCTTCAGAAATTCCTGGAAATAAATACAATAGTTCAGAAATAACTCTAGTAGGCATAAAAGTAAGAAAAGTGCTGAGCATTTTAAAAGGAAATCTGCCAAATCAAACGAAGTTTCTAGGTCAGCTTCTAGTTCAGTGCAGGCGTGTCCTGAAGTTGCAAAGGCAAACTTAAAGTTCTGAAGGAGACTGACTGAGTGGAAGATAGAAGAAACTTTGAGGTTTTTGCAAGGCCAGAATTATGCCTCTGTGTGTCCGAAACCCTCTTCAGCCCCTCTGGTTAAAGAACAATTTGATGAAGGTGTCATAAACGCTGAAAACATTAAACATTTTTGTGCTTATGTTCTTCCCATTTTTCCTTCCTTTTTTTTTTCTTTTTCAATAAAAATAATTGTATTTAATCACATTGATGGTGATATCAGTAATATAATTCTGATATTGTTGTGTGTGTAAAACAAAATGAAACAAAAGAGTAATTACAGGACATTCTAATTTTATCATCTCCTATGCTTTCAAGAACCAGTATTCTTGGTATAGATAAAGAGGTTACAAATATAATAGAAAAATTAAATAATAAGCTCTGTAGTCTCAGTTTGAATTGGAAGTATTCATATGAATTCATTAGATATTTATCTTTTTTGTTTGTTTGTTTTTAATCCTTGCCCAAGGATATGTTTATTGATTTTAGAGAGAAGAAAGGAGAGAGAGAGAGAAACATTGATGTGAGAAATACTGATCAATTGCCTCCCATACACACCCCACCTGGGGATCGAACCTGCAACCTCGGTATGTGCCCTAATTGGGAATTGAACCAGCAACGTTTTGGTGTATGGGATGATGCTCCAACTACTTGAGTCACCCGGCAAGGGTGATATTTTATCTTTAATGTGTTTTTCTATAGATAGATAGAAGTATCCTAGCTCTGTCTACTGAAAAGCCTCAAACAGTGACTGACTCAGGATCCCTAGCATACAGACTATGACCTTAAAATGCTACTTAGTTAGTTTTAAAAGAAATCAGAGTTTCTTGAAGAAATGTATAATTTCAGATTGGGGAAAGAACTTGGAAGTTATCCAAGACTAGTAGAGTCATATCAAAAGGACAGGCTTGAGTAGGAGCACCCTCCTCCGACAGCCAAAGATAGGACAACATAAATTTCAATAGTGATAATTGCAATGAGTTGAATCCCATCAAATATGTCTAAATTCATTACCTTATACTGATATTAGAGTTTTTAAAATAGTCTTCAGAGAATAAGGAACCCGTACACAAGATTATTTACTACAATATTATTTATAAAAACACAAACAAATAGAAGCAAATGATATTCATCAAATGGGAACTGGTAAATAAATTCTGGTAACATACAATGTACCAGGATAAACAAAATATTATGCAGATACAAAAATAAACAATAATACTCTTCATGTACTGGTTATGAATTATCTCACAGATAATGTGTATATTAAAAATCAAGTAGAGGACAGCACATAATTTTCACTGGGAAAAGTATAAATGCACATAATTTCTTGTTTATGTATAAATGCTTTCCTAAAAAGAAATACAATAAACAAAAAATATTTGCTGACTTTCGGGAAGGACCAGAATTATTAAAATAGTGAATATTTTCAATATATATATGCATTCAAATAGGAAAATTAAACTCTGTGAATGTCTAACATTGTCAATACTATTTACATTAAAATGTAAATTTAATAAAATTTAAACAAAAAAATAAAAGGAGATAAAGAACCAATTTATGATCTTGAAAATTGGTAAATAAATGGTAGGAATCAAAAATAAATGCAGCTTCACCTAAAGGAATTATACTGCTGCCTATCCAAATGATAGATAGGGACAGTATTCCAACCAATAAGTGAAAAAGACCTGAAAGAATTACAATACCACTATTTTGAAACCTTCAGTGAACAGATAAGGCATCAAGTAGCACAGCTGCTGAGATCAGGAAGAGAGAAACAATGACACATTATGCACCTTCTATGGTCTTGCCAACCACCACCAAAGAGAATTGCCAAGGGGACTGACTCGGAGTCTGATCCAGTCTGGAATCCAGCTACCAGTGTGCAGGAACTACCCAAGGCAGAGGAATATATGAACTATACATGATTATACAGTCAGCAATATCCAGACTATAGAGTATACAGGTCAAATGACCCAGGTTCTTCATCAGATAAAATGTAAGAGAAAGAAAGGAATGTACCTGGCCGGTGTGGCTCAGTGGATTGAGCATAGCCCCATGGACTGAGAGGTCCCGGTTCGATTCCCAGTCAGGGCACCTGCCTGGGTTGCAGGCTCAATCATCAGTAAGGGGTGTGCAAGAGGCAGCCAATGGATGTTTCTCTCTCACATTGATATTTCTATCTCTATCTCCCTAAAGAATCAATAAAAACATATTTTGAAAAGGAAAAGGAACAAAGAAAACCTACACATTAAATTTTTTTTAACTTTAATGGATAAAACTACATTATAATATCTAGGAATATGCATTATGAAAAACTTTTTTTAAAAAACACAAGGAAGCAATTACTATAAAAGTCAGAAGAATGGCTACCAATGGGAGTACAGAAGTAGTAGTGATTGGGATGGGGCAACGGAGTGGCTCTGGCATGGCTAGCAAGGTTCCACACCCTGACCTAGGTGGTATTGCCTTTTAATAATTCACTAAGCTATACATCTGGTATGTGTATTGTTTGATTTCATTAAAAAAATTCATTTTCGCCCTGGCCGGTTTGGCTCAGCGGTTAGAGCGTCGGCCTGCGGTCCTGAGAGACCCGGGTTCGGTTCCCGCTAAGGGCACGTACCTTGGTTGCAGTTTGTCCCCGGCCCTGGTTGGGTCGTGTGGGTGGCAGCCACTCGATGTGTCCCTTTCACGTCGATGTTTCTCTCTCTCTCTCTCCCTCCCACACTCTATCTAAACAAAAAATGAAAAAATGTCCTCGGGCGAGGATAATAAAAAAAAAAAAAAAAAAAAAAAAAAAAATTCATTTTCTATAAAAAATTCCATTAAACAACAATAAAAACAAAAGTAAAGGAAATACTAACCAAAAGAAAGCTGGTATAATTCTGCAGCCAGACTGCCTGGGTTTGAATTACAGATTTTGCCACACAGCCAGGAAAGTACTAATCTCTGTGTGCCTCAATTTCTTTATCATGAAGTGAGGATAAGAAAGGTAGTTAGCTCATAGGGTTGTAAAGATTAGGGGAGTTAATATACAAGTATACTGCAGAGATATTGCAGGTTCAGTTCCAGACCACCACAATAAAGCAAGTCACACAATTTTTTTTATTTCCCAGCATATATAAAAGTTATGGTTGCACTATACTCTAGTTTATTAAGTGTGCAATAGCATTATATCTAAAAACAATGTACATACCTTAATTTAAAAATACTTTATTGCTAAAAAATACTAACCATCATCTGAGCCTTCAGAGAGTTGTAATCTTTTTGCTGATAAAGGGTCTTATTTTCAATTTGTAAAAAACACAATAGCTCTAAAGTACAGGAAAGTGAAACGCAATAAAACAAGGTCCGCCCATAGAAAGGAAATAGAACAGTACCTGCACATAGCAGGACAGAGGTGGTATTAGTGTTGGTGGGTGACCAGCTGTGTTATCTTAGTTATTTAACCTCTCTGGGCTTCCATTTCCTTAACTGAATTTAAAATATCTACCTGATAGGATTACTAGGAAGTCAAAAGGAAATATATGTATTATACCTAGTACACTAGTCAATAAACAATAGATTCTTTCCATGGTCCCCCAACATCCAGAGAGTCATCTGTCACATTAGGCACACCTCAGTCATAGCACTTTTTACCTGGTCATTCACGTTGATCTCAATGATATGATCACCCAGTGAATCTCACGTCTGAAACTGGATCTTCATCTAGGTATCAACAACAACCAAAAAAAAACAGCTTTCAACAATAAAGATAAAATAAATAAATACAATAATAAATAAACAGGCCAAAATCTTAAAATGTCCAACCTCCTAGTAAGAATGGTCTTATGTTATTCCCCAGAGCAGGCATCTATGGTATTGGCAACCACTGAACTGAAGCCGAACTGAAGTTACTCTTAATGAGCTCTGATGCTTACCACCCACCATGTACCTTCTCTTTCTCTTCTTTCCCCTTCTGTTTTGTTTTGTTTGGCTAAGAAAGAATTTGGAGCCAAGAACTCAAATATAATCAAAAGTTTAGTTAGAAAGTATCAGAGGCAGAAGAAGTGAGCCAGCTAGGCTGTGTGGACTCAGGAAACAAGTTACAAAGGCAAAATAAGGGCCCTTTGGAGCTTAGGAGAAAAAGCAACAGTAGGAATCTTGATGGAAGAAAGGGGGAAGGTTTGGGCATGCTCTAGAGGGAGGGAGGAGAGAGAAAGAGTGAGCTTCTTTCCCCTTCTTAACTTTCCTCTCCCCACTGGAGGTCTAACTCTATCTATCATCAATTCTGACTTCTAGTTTCACAGGTAGAATATTCTCATTTGCAATGGCACTAAAAAGAAGAGCTCAAAGAAATAAACACCACTGAACATAAAAAGCAAAGGCAGGAAGCCCTGGCCGGTTTGGCCCAGCAGTTAGAGCGTCAGCCCAGGGATCAGTCTCGGGTTCGATTCCAGTCAAGGGCACGTACCTCGGTTGAAGTTTGGTCCCCGGCCCTGGTTGGGGTCATGTGGGAGGCAACCAATCCATGTCTGTCTCTGTCTGTCTCTGTCTGTCTCTCTTCCCCTCCTCCATTCTTCCCTCCCACTCTGTCTGAAGATAAATGCAAAAATATCCTTGGGTGAGGATTTAAAAAACAGCAAACGCAGGAAGAAAAACAATCTCAATTTCACCTGTAATCAAGCCCTCCTTTTTAGAGGTCCATACTGTGAAATTAATGTATAAATTGCTGGCAGCAGCCCTTCCCCAATCAGGCTATGACAGGACACAGCTGGAACTTTGAGTCACAGGAAGAAACCAAAGGCTTGCCAAAGTAGAAGTTGTAGCTTTAAAACAGTCCATTTATTTATTTATTTTTGATACCTCACCTTAAGCACAACTTTGGGTTGTAGGGTAGGAGTTGGTTTGTACATGGCATAGAAAGCAAAGTGCAAAGAAACAAACACAGCTGTATTTTCTGGCACTGTTCAGGTTTCCTAAGAGACCTTTGATAACTTACCCTTTACAGGTCTGCAGCCCCTGTAACATGTACCATACATTAAAATGTAATTATTTTTCACCATTTGGGGGGGTGGTGGTAGCTGGGAATAAACTACGGCAAGTAACTTCTTTCTCAAGTGAGTCACATTAAAATCTGTAGTTAGCTTTTTCAAACACATATAGTTTACACTACTGCAGTAAATGGAATATGCATTGTTTTCAAAGTCTCTACTGTCTATGAAATACAAATGCTCTATTCTAAAAATATGCCAACATGCTGTTTAATGTTCCCCAAAAGAACTGAACTGAATCTACCACAAATAAGGAATCGGAGTTAGGATTGGCTATCATCTCAAACAAATCATCCTGCCCCAGAAGAGGTTACTAAAAGGGCCAGGAAACACCTCTCCCACTTTGAAGCAGAAGCTGAGGCAAAACCCCAGTCGGCCACCTCTTCCCCATGGTGGGGTTGGGGAGGCCCTGTCTTCTTGGCAGTGCAGAAAGTAAAACACCAACAAAAAATGGATAATACCTGCACAGTGTTTAATACTATTATAGTTGGAAAATAAAGTGGTAGTAAGAAACCCTTTCTGATCGATCTCTGTATTGTGGGTCTCTTAGCCTCTGACACTCCCAGCTCACTGATTTTCTTTAGAATCAAATTAGACTCCCTATAAAGTCAGAGGAACCCTGAATCAGGAATGAGCATAATACACTGGAGAAACAGATACTCACCTACCCATTCACACAGATGTCCCCCCTCCTTTTGCTCTGAGTCTTCACTAGCCAAGCAACCTTCTCAGACTCCCAATTCCCTACAACTTATCTGGAATCCAGTCTGCGCAGGGACCAGTCTAAGACGGCGATTTTCCACTGGTGTGCCGCAGGAATTTTTAAAACGTGCAACACCCGCCTATTTACTCAGGGGCTCTTTTCCCTTAGACTGTCAAAAGAAAAAATGACAACAGCCAACACAACAGCCGTTGGTGCGAATGAATCAAAATTCTCTCTCTTTGTGTCACACTAGCCAAAAACATATTTCTGGTGTGCCTCAGAATTTTAGTTGTTAGTTTCTGTGTGCCATGTGATGAGAAAGGGTGAAAGTCGCTGCTCTTCCACGTACTGCCCCATTTAACCTCCTCAACCACCATGCTAGTCAAGAGTACCAGCTGTATTCTGTAAAAGAAGAAACTGCGGCGCTGAGACGTTACACGAGTAGCCAAAGATCAAAACGGGCAGGGAGCTAGGACTCGCACCCCGATTGTCAGGTACCGATCCTAATACTGAGATTTTTAACTGGCGCGAACTAGTCCAAGGCGGCTCCTCTCTGGGGGCCACGACAAAGGTCAGTGTGACCACTCGCAGGGCCACGTGGAGCCAATTCTGGGGGTGCTCCAGAGAGGAGCTCAAGCCGACACCTCTGCGAACCCCGAGCGCGGAACTCACCTTCCTCCGCCGCCGTGTCCCTCTGCAGCGCGCCCAGGTGGGCCGGCTCAGCCGCCTTGGGCCCCGCCTCTGCGACCGTTAGCACGCCGTGGGAGGCGGACCAATCGAGTCCGAGCGCGTCGAGGGGCCTCCCTCAGCCCCGCCTCCGAACGCCCGGGAGCGATTTTCTCGGGCCGCTCGGGGAGGCTGGGACCGCCCCGCACCCTCTGGTTGGCTCGGCTGATGCTTACGTCAATACAGACGCGAGTGGGCTGTGCTAGAGTTGCCATCTGCGCCTGCGCACTTCCTTCGTATTTGCGACAGGTTCTTGGCTCTCAGGTGTTTTACTACCTACCTGGAGCTCAACTCGGCCGGGGCGACTTAGGAAATACTGTACACATTTGAGGCCGATGGTGAAAGGGAGGGCCGGGCCCCGTGCCCACGACAGACTGACCGCTGGACACATACACCCGCCATAACTGCGAGTTCCTGCTGCAGGAGTCATGGGCTGTTCTCTAGGTTCCAGACCTGGCTGAGCACTGCAGCGCCTGGCATTTAGAGGATCCCAGAAGTGTTTGTTGATGACATCTTACCCTTCCATTCAGCACTGCTGACTGGAGATGCGCAAGGTCTAGATAGAGAGAACGGGCATACCCTCTGAAATTAAGATACAGTGTGATATGATCAGAGAAGTGCGTGAAGGGCGCAGAAGGGATAGAGGAGGTTTACAATCCTCCTCGTTTATCACGGTTAATCCGTTTCAGACTCCAGAGGCTGCACCTGGCGTTGAAAGATTCCTGGGGTGCTCGAATACATAGGCCTATAGTCCATATGTACAGTAATTGTGATTGTAATACAGGGGTGTATAATTGACTCAGACAACTGAGCATGCGCCGCATCATTTTCACTTTCTCTATCAACTTTTTAATAGATATAGTTGATAAAACCGTGACAGTGAAGCCATGAAAGTCGAAGCACGAAGTGGCGAGGGACGACTGTACCTAAGTCAGTCACTGAAGTCTTCCTAGACCAGTGGGTCTCAACCCTGGCTGCACATTAGAATAACCTGGGGAGCTTTGAAAACCCTTGTTGCTCAGGAGTCAGAACAATTAAATCAGAATCTCCAGGGTAGGACCCAGGTGCCATAGTTTGTAAAGCTCCCCAAGTGATTTTATTGAGCAGCTATAATTGAGAACTGCAAACCTGGAGGAATAGTTAAGAATAATAATTTGAATGGTGAATACAAGTTCCCCAGCAATACAGGGAAGAAAGGTAGAGAAAACTTCATGTGCAAAAAAGCACATTATACTTTTTTTTTTTTTTTTTTGTAAACTGGGTCCCTTCTGTGCAGCTCATATTTGCCCTCCCCCAAAACCTAATTCCCAAAGCATTTATAAATATTATGGAATTCACTGAGGGCTTCCTGAAGAAGCTCAGGAATGTGTTGCATCACTAGGGAGGCTGAGGAGGAAAGCCTTAGGAGGTGTGCTTAGAAGCTAGAATTTCATCCAGGAGGTGATAGGAAACAATAGACAAGTTTTCAAAAGGGGCATTAAATAGAACGGTTTTTGTCTGGGTGTCTTCAAGCATAATTTTCTTGCATCCTGATATATAGGTGAAAATCATAAAAACAACTCCAACACGTGTACAAATGATTGCTGCTTTATTTTTGTTTCCACAAAAGGAAAACAGCTCAACCCTCTACTTCTCAGTTTAATAAGTTGAGAATATACAAATAGGGTCCATGCCCACCATTTTTGAAAATTCATAGAGGGTTAAGTGATCCAAAAATTCCTAAAGGAAAATCCAACTTCCACACACCTGAAGAGAAGGCCAGGCCTCTCATCTGCCCACCACTGTCATTGCATCTTATTGCCACACGGTGTAGCTGTTGGCAACCTGTATTTTACAATTGGTTAAATGATGCAAGTCTGTAGCGATGCAGGTTTGTAGCGGTGCATGCAGGTCCCACAATGGCCAACATTCTTCTCCCATGCAAGACATCAGCCATGGTGTCTCTCACAAGAAGGGTTCACAGCTCTTAGGTACATACTTTCAGGTCCATACTCAGCCTTATTCTAGGCAGCTGGGGCCACTGTGAGTTTGATCTCTGTGCCTGGCCCCTGTGCAAACAAATCCTGGGTTTCAGAAGGGAAAAGGGGTTACCATAATTGGAATTGGCAGTAGGGTGGGTGCTCCTTAAATCACATGGGGTGGAAGGTGGAGGCATGGCTACTTCAGTAAAACTGGAGTCCTGTAAGCAGTGAGAGGACAGTGGGTGCTAGATGAATAGATCACCAGTATCCACAATCTTCAAAACACAAGAAGCCTGATTACTCTCTATTTCCTAACAATAGAGAGCCTTCCTCTCATCACTCCTGGATCTTGTGTGTAACAAGTGGAGGGGAGGAAACTCTATAGCACTGTTCTCCAAAGGAATTCCCTTCTTATGGACCACAAAGGTATAAGCCTGTCCAGCACCTCACGTTGCTACAGAAAGAAAAGACTTTAAACACAAGTTCAATCTTTAGCTTGGCATCCTGCTGCACTGAGGTTTCTATGGGCTTCATCCACTCACCAGGATTCTCATGGTCCTAAATACTTATTTAACATTCATTCATTTACCCAAAAAATGTATTAAGCACCTGTTTACGTACTAGAGATTGAACTAGATGCTGAGTTTACAGTTGTGAGTAAACCAAATGTGGTTCTGCCCTCGTGGATCTCATGGTCTTTGTTGGGAAGAGAAATATGAAACAAACACAAATAAGCATATAATTATGGTAAGTGCTGTGAAGGAAGAGAACAGGCGTGTACAGAGAAGGCCTCTCTGAGAAAGTAACATTTAAGCTGAAATCCAAAGCCTGTCTTCATTTCAGCTTACTGCTTTCCTCTGTGCTTTGACTTCCCAGTATAAATGATAGCCTTCATTAGCAATTAAAACAGATCTTTTCAGGTTTCTTCCCACCACAAGGAATATACCAAATATAAATGTCATTTGGTGATGAATTCTTGAAAATTCTTTAATTCACAAGTCTATTAGAATCCTTTATTACATTAATACATTTGTTTCTGCTTCCCCCATGAGAATTTGAACTCCTGGGGACATGGATCATATCTTACTTTTTCCAACAGCCAGAATAGTTGGTGTTCACAGTAGGTACTCGGTGCAGTGTTGAACTGCATTGTTAAATTTGAGTCAGATTTATACAGGGGGCATTCACCTTCAATAGCCATTTTCTAATATGAAGGACAATAAGCAAAAAAGTCAGGCAAATATGTTAATAACAAATGCTCAAGAATCTATACAGAATAGCCATAGTTATATTAATTGAGCCTTTAAAATGTGCCAGGCTCTGAGCTAAGTACTTTCATGTTCTAACTTATTGACTCTTCACACTGTAATATAAATACTGTTATTATATTTTTGTTACAAATTAGAAAATAGAAGGAAAAAAAAACTTGCTAAGGACTCACAGCAAATATGTGGCAGAACCAGGATGTGAAATTAAACTTCCAGTTCCAAAGCCTATTTCTTTACCCACTTGACCATACTACTTCTCATGATGGGCATCCACTCTACTATAAGTTGATGTATATACTTATTTCCACTTGTAATTATTTCATCTATCTCTGTATTAGTAATCTATTGATGTATAACAACAAATTACCCCTAATCACAGCAGCTTAAAACAAACATTTACTACCTCAAAGTTTCTGTGGGTCAGAAATACAGGAGTGGCTTAGCTGGGTGGTCTGGACAGAATCTTTCATGAAGTTACAGTCAAGCTGGTGGCCAGAGCTACAGTCATCTCTATATTCAACAGGGGATGAAGGATTCACTTCCAAATTCACACATGTGGTTGTTAGCAGACTTCAGTTCATTCCTTGTTATATAACAAACAGTAGTCAATAAATACAATAAATGTAATGATGGTGAAATGAAGTCCAAAAGATGAACTCCCTGTAATCTTGTCTTACTCTTACATAAATTCCTAGCTGCCAGTCATGGTACCATTTAAATCATTTTCAAAAGCAGGACTGACCCTGGCCGCTTTGGCTCAGCGGTTAAAGCATCTGCCTGCAGTCCAGAGAGACCAGGGTTCGGTTCCCGCTAAGGGCATGTACCTTGGTTGCAGTTTGTCCCCGGCCCTGGTTGGGTAGTGCAGGTGGCACCCACTCAATGTGTCCCTTTCACGTCGATGTTTCTCTCTCTCTCTCTCTCTCTCCCTCCCTCCCTCCCACTCTATCTGAACAAAAAATGGAAAAATGTCCTCGGGTGAGGATTAAAAAAAAAAAAAAATCAGGACTGGCTCTGGCCGGTTTGGCTCAGAGGTTAGAGCGTCAGCCAGCAGACCAGAGAGTCCCAGGTTCGATTCCCGCTAAGGGCATGAACCTTGGTTGTGGTTTGACCCTGGCCCCAGTTGGGGTCTTGTGGGTGGCAACCAGTCGATGTGTCTCTCTCACATTGATGTTTCTCTCTCTCTCTTCCTCCCTCTCTCCCTCCCACTCTATCTGAAGATAAATGCAAAAATGTCCTTGGGTGAGGATAAAAAAACAAAAAATAAAAAAAATAAAAGCAGGACTGTATCCATACCCAAGAACATTTACACATGTATACAATTTCTATATAATGATAGAAAATGGACTTGGAAGGTAACATCAAATTCATGAGAACGTTAGCCTTTGGGAAAAAGAATATAATGGCGTTGGGACTGAAAGTCAAACAGGGCTTTATCTGCAAAAGTTTCTTCTATTAAAATTTTTATTGAGTCAATAGTTAATGATGGTCAGTCAGTACTGGATGGCAGGGATGTAGGAATTATACTCTGTTCTTATCTATATTTTAAATTTTTTAAAATAAATAAGATACGCATTTTAAAAGTCTTAACCAATTGGAACATATGTCTGTACTAACTTCCTCTTCACTCCAATTAAGGGTGTATCTATAAATCCCACTCTCCACATGACTCAGACCAAAACCTATTTTCTCCTCAAGATTTTCTGGTTTGAAGGTCTACAGAATCCCCTTAGTTTGCTGCTTCTCCACTTTCTGCATTTGTGCCACAGAAAGCCTGGCTGAGAGCCTGGCCAGCAGCATGAGGCTATAGTTACTGGCACTGGTTCTGACACACAATCCTCTGAGGTCAGAATCCTGGGCCCTGCACTCATTTCTAAAGCACTGATGCCTCTTCCTTTAACATAGCCCATAGTCACACTGGAACAATACTGCAAGGGCACGAGGAAATTGTAAATCTGTAGGTATCAGATTATATAACTTTTCCCTTTTATTTTGACCTCCATTCATGCTGTTTAAAAAGTAAGTTCACAAAAATCAGTCAATCCATTAACAATTCCCTTTACAAAAGGAGACCTGATAAAAACACGGACTATTGTGAATGAAAGCATTTTTAGCTGCTCTTTTAAAATAAATCACTGGTGTCTATTGGCAAATTGGTGAGAGGCCATTTAAGAAGAAAGAGCAGCATCTAGCTACTTCCTGGGAAACAAGGAAGCAATCTGAGAGTGAGAATAAAGTCAAAAGCAGGATCAGTCTGAATAAATGAATATGTTTTGTACTCAACTTCAATACCTTTCACAATGTTTTGTTCAGACTTGATTTCTTTCCATAACAATGCTGTCTGGTAACAATTCACTATTCCTCTCTCCAGTGTCCTGGACTAAGGGAATGAGTAGGTAGAAAATGCAGCCCAAACTGGTATGTTCCTGAATTCCAGGTATCCCAGAAACTATACTCAAAGAGAAAGTAGTGGCACAGAACAACTCATCTGCAAAACCACAAACAGCCTTACCTATTCTGGGTGCAGACTTGGATATACCTTATGAGCACACTCTGGTGACCCTGGCCCGAGGAGCTTTCCAGGCCTTGAAGACAGGACTCAGATTTTTCTTCAATCAAAATTAACACTTTTCTAATAAAGCCTTATTAACATGAACATTTCAAATTCCATAGGCCTGGTTCAACATGCTGGTCCTGCAACTCCTGAAGGGCTTTGGGTCTTTCTGTAATTTGGTGTAAACGTAATCGCTGGGCTGTAAGAACTATAGATAATGCTATACCATACATAGCAAGCATGCAATTACACCTATTGGTCTTGTAAAAGATATCCCTATTCCTAACGTTTCATAAAAAAATATGATCCTTTATTAACATATCTTTGATATGATAACATATCCCCAACCAGGATTTCCTGGCCCTATCTCAACAATTCAGGATTGTTTCTCAGAAAAACTAAGGACTACGAAAGAAGAATCAAGATGACTTCACCTAGCCTTGTCCCAGCTCTGGAAATTTCGCCACTCTGTAGCCTTTTACCTTTCCCCACTAATTCATTCTTTCAACAATCACTTATTGAAAACTCTCTGTTCAAGATACTGGTACAGAAGAAAACAGAAATATGAAATATCTTTGTGTGGACTTTCAATACAGGGTAGCAAACCAGAAATCAGCACTCACTAAGCAGAATCCCTAAAACATAATTTGCTTAAGAATCAGTTATTATTACTTTGCACACTGTTTAACCTAATCAATAGATTGTTCCCTATTGTCTCCCAACTCCCCCTTCTCTCCCTCCTTGCCCAGCATGTAGAAATGAATCCACACTATCAGCCCCAAAGGTGGGACAATCCTTCTTTAGATTGACATCAAGCTGCAAGAAGTTACATAAGAGGCCTGGCTGCCTCTCTGTCCCCAAGTCTCCTGGGTACTCAGAACCCCTCCAGAACACTTTACATGTCTCCACTTTGTTGCTGGGCCCACTCTCCACAGGGACCACTCATGGCTGTCCTCAGATGGCCCACTCCACAACCCTCCTCCCTCTCTGCAGGTGATATTGTCCCCTCCTTAAAGTGAAACCGAAGGCCACCTGAAACATTAACCAGGCCTGGTGTTCATTTACTCATTCAACACACATTGATCAGAATCTACTATGTATGAGCCTGCACTGCGCATATGTAGGAGATACAAGACAGCCAAGCAGCCACGGTCCCTGCCTTCACAGATCCGTCTACTAAGGTACACATTCAGCAAAAATCACACCAAAAAAATTGCACACCTTGAAAGGAACCAAGAAGGACAATTACAGGTGATACAAGTCTTAGAGGGCCAAGGTTGTTTTCCTTAAGAAATGATCTATGACAAAAAGAAAAAGAAAGAAAGAAATGATCTATGCATGCCTTGGCTGGTGTGGCCTCAGCTGGTTGGAGCGTTGTCCCATACACCAAATGGTGGTGGGTTTGATTCACTGTCAGGGACATAACCCGGTTGTGGGTTTGATTACCAATTGGGCTCATGCAGGAGGCAACCAATGGATGTTTCTCTCTCGCATCAATACTTGTCTCCCTCTCTTCCTCTCTCGAAAAAAAATCAATAAAACTTGAAGGAGAAAAGGAAGGAGGAGGAGGAGAAGAATTAGTGGGGGAAGGGAAAGAGAAGTGATGTATGGGAACAATCTCAACAAAATGGACTCAGCTTAAGAGAAGCTAGGGGCATTGCAGAGCACCCCCACCCCCCGCCCGCGTAGTGGGGGGCAGGGGAGAAGGAGCCCGCATCTTATGAGTTCCCAAATGAGCCACTTAGTACCCGGGGCCTTGTGCCTCCCATAAGGAGTCTGGGTCTCTAAAGAAGTAATCAGAACCCATAAAGAGGCGTCCAGGAGCTAAAGCCATGATCAGGTTGGCCTGCCCCGAGTCTCCAGCGCAGGGACCGTTTCTGCCCACCAGGTCACCTCCGCAGCGCCTGCCATCCGCTGGTTCTTGCAGGCCGCGGGCTGGGTGGCGGGACGCAGCGCCGGGCTCGGAGGCCGGAGGCAGGGCGGGCGCCGAGGGCCTTCCGCCGAGACCGCGGGCGGGGCTGGGTCCGCGGTGCCGCGAGGCGGTGGCGGCCTGGGCTGGGCAGCTCAGGGGACCTGGAGCGCGACAAACAATCGGCGCGCATGGTGCTCGCGCTCGCCCAGCTTCGGCTTCCGCAGGGGCGGCGTCTGGTTCTCCGCGGAGGGAGAAGGCCCCGCGGCCTCAGCGGCCCGTCGGCACCGACCCAGGCGTGGCCCGGAGCCTCCCGCAGCCCCGGCGTACAGGTGAGACCCGCGGCCCGGCCCCCAGGCCCCTGCGCGCAGCCCCGGCGCCCCCCTGCAGCTCGGGCGGCCGCCATCTCGGGGAGGCGGTGGCCGCGGCGGGCGCTGCGAGCCGTGGGCGGCGTCTCCGTGGGCCGGAGAGCCCGCCGGGGGCACCGGACCCGCTGCGGCGTGCTCCGGGCTCTCCTGGCGGCCCGGCTGCGGACCGAGGCGGGGACCCGGGCCGGCGCGCCCCTGCCCGGCCCTGCGACCGGCCGCACCAGCCTCCGGCCTTGTCCCCAACGACAGAGTGAATACTTGTCGCTGTCGAAAAAGTGGAACAGAAAAGCACAGGGAAGGAAGACGAGAGCTGAACCCCTGCACCCCGGAGACAGCCTGGGTTAACGTTAAGGTGTATCTCCTTCCTGTCCCCTGTAAGCATGATCAGACTGGGGTTTTGCAGCACCTGGATCAGAAAGTGCTGTAACTTGGCTTTTTTCTCTTTACACATCACGGGCATCCCCCGTGGCTTGAAGTGCTTTTCCTTGTTTCCTTTTATTGACCGCACTGGACGGCCAGCGACGCCGTGTGCCGGGGTGGCCTCTGCATACTGCCCCAGAGTCTGGCCCCGCTCCACCTGCAGCTGGTTGAGTGACAGGACTGTGATTTACTCAATGGATTCCCTCCCTGATGGTGAACATACGGAAGGGTTTTCCGTGTTCAGGTGTTAGAAAAGCAGTTTGTTTGAGCATCATTGTTTACAGTGACCTTCCTGAGGTGTGTAGTATATATACGTTGCAGAATGCTCCTTAGAAGAATTATTCTCGTTGTTTGTTCCTGCACTAGCATGTGGGAACGCCTGGTTCAAGGAACTTCCTGACTGACTTGTAGGTCCCAGTGCATCACAAGGGGTAGGGAGCAAAGTGTCAACACCTGTTTCTTAGAGTAGCCTGTCTTGTGGCTGGCCTTACCTAGAGCTTTTGCTGAAAAGGGAACTATGAGTATTTTAGTAATTTTAAAATCGGATTTAGGTTTATCTTGGATAAACTAGTACAGTCCCCAATACAATTTAACCTAAGTGAATGCAAAATTCAAGCTGGGGTTCGATGAATCGTAGAAACGTTTTGATATTTAAGTCATACTCTGAAACATGGATGTTGGGTTGCAAGGGAAAGGATTTTAAAAGATTCTGCTGATGGGTAGTCACTAGATAATCAAAAAGCTTTCTTTGAAGACTTGTAAAAGGCTTCGAGTGACATTGTCTTCATCTGTGAAAATAAGTGGATTTGTTTTTCTATCCTTTTCATTTATATTTTTAAAATTTTGTGCTAAAATAGAGGAACTTTTTCTCTGTCACGATCATTTTCCTGTTTGGTTACATGATCCTGAAAATTAAATGTATGTATAAGAGTTTAGAAATTACAGTGGATTGATTCCTTTCTCCCGAATTTTAAACCAAAGCCATCCCAGGCCTTCCTGCCCATTTTTACAGGGAATAGGGTCCATTCTGTGTGGGCCCATTCTGCCCATTACAGCTTCCCTTCACAAGACACGCCCATGGCTGTGCTGTGATCATCTTTCCGTCTCTCACTCTGAACTTAGTGCCCAGCTCAGTGCCTGGCACATAAGTGACTGCTAACTATTAGCATGGGGGATGAATTTATAATATGATGTGTTTGTTAAGCCCAAATTGTAAGATAGAGATCTGCGTGATTGATTTCTCACTCAAATGAATAAGGTAGAAATCAGGGACAAGGACAGCTGTGATCCTTTCTTGATTATAAGTGATATCACTTTCCAAGAAACACTACTGGCAGGTCACCTAGGTCTTTTTTTTTAAAACAACTTTGTTGATATATAATTCATATACCATATAATTCATCCATTTAAAGTGTACAATTCAATTTTTTGTAATCTGCCACTTTAAAAAATTTACCACTTTACCTATTTTTAAGTGTTAACAATTCAGTAATATTAAATACACTCACAATGTTGTTTTTCAACCATCACCACTATTTCTTTTTTTTTTATTTTTATTTTTCCTTTAATGATTAGAGAGAGAAGGGAAAGGGAGGGAGAGAGAGATAGAAACATCGATGAGAGAGAACATCGATCGGCCACCTCCTGCATGCCCCCCACTGGGGATCGGGCCCACAACCTGGGCATATGCCCTGACCGGGAATCGAACCAACGACCTCTTGGTGCATGGGTTGATGCTCAACCACTGAGCCACACCGGCTGGGCCTATCACCACTATTTCCAAAACTTTTTGTACCCTAACCAGATACTCTATAAATAAATGTTGAATATATGAATGAATGTTGATAGTTTGAAGAAGAAAAAATGTTAAGGTAATCTTGATGTCTAAACCCCCTTTCTATTTGTTATGTTGTCTTTTATACCTATATGAAAAGTTACTGTAGTTAAGATGGTACCATGCCTTATCTTAGTATGATAATATTTGAAGTTCCTTATAATGGAAAACTGGGCAATTCTTTCAAGTTTGAATACTGAATTACTGAACTTTCTAGAGCCTTTAAAAGCTGTAGAGCAAAATGTGAATGATATTTATCCAAGTTGATATTATGCTGTTTGGCTTACTCTACTTCTATGTATTCTCTTGCTTTCAAACTGCAGGATACCCTCCACTTTCATTGGAGGTACCCTGAGGCTTCCTAAGACTAGAAAAATCAACAAAATTTTAAGATGCTAATAAAAATGAATTTTAAAAAACCCAGTATTTATTTTAGGTACAAAGTGTTTGAATTCTTACCTAGTTTTCATTCTAAAATTTTTAGCTTTTCTTTGACTGTTACATTGCTTTTATGAATGCTAATCTCTTCCTTAACATCTTTTAAAAAATAGTAATTTGTTGCTTCTGGCTGTTTGATCTTCCATTTTTACTGAGGAGAGAGCACCCTTGGGCATCTATAGGAAGAAGGCTAGGCTAGGGTAGATCTTAGGAACAAAAATTAATGAGCGAATTTTTTAGTAGGTTTGGCAGGGGTACAACTGTTAATCCCAAATCTTCAAATATGGAGGGTTTCCTATGTATGTGAGTAAATTTGTACTTCTGAGTTCAGTAAAACTTAATGAGCATTATAGCCCAGTTACCGTTTAGTTACTTGCACAGGAATTCTGGGCTATAGTTTTGGCTTGGGCCCTGCTAGTGGCCTGAGCAACCCACATCACTTTTGTGGATTCATTTTCGGCACTAGTAAATTAAGTGGGCTTGAGTAAACAGGTAAATTAAGTTTGTTCTTATAAAGTGAACTAGCGTGTACTTGGCAGCTTCTTGCAAACTTAACATTTCTTTGAAGTTATCTAAAAAATTTTTTAAATTATATATTCTACCATAATGTAGCCTTGTAAAATTTAATGTAAAGATTGCATTTTAAATTTGTTACCACCCTGTAACATTGATTCTTCCAGAAGGTGCATTCTGTTTATCCTGGAGTTTTATGTATTCCCTGATGCACTGCTTCATACCCTTAGGGCTTCTTCTGCCTCAATTTGAAAAGCTTGGGACCCAGAGGACCTGTAGGTCTCTTGAAGCTCTGGTGTGGTATAACCCTTGAAATAAACTAGAGTTTATTTTCTAGTTTTAGGAAATTATAAATCCATAACATGGAAAAATATGATTAGCCAATTTGAATGACTTAACTTCTTTCCCTGAAAATTAGAGATTGCAATTCTGTTGTATATAAAAGCTGTTTCATCAGAAACTGCATGCAATTTAAGAAATGGATTGCAAAGTTAGAAAAACTCTTTGCAGATGTCATCTTTGTTGCTCTCAATCTTTCTTGCCTGCAATTCTGCTTTTTTTATTTCCTGGCTGCTAATTGGATTTAAGTCTGTTTTGCCAACCATGGCATCTGGAGATGACAGTCCTATCTTTGAAGATGACGAAAGGTAAATGTCTTGCATTGCAATAAAACTAGCTTTTGAAACTATCAAGATAGTTCTAATCATTTAGAAGAGTTATTTATCCAGGCTACTTTTTTAAGGACACGTTTTGTAAAATTGCAGAATGCATGGTTTTGCTTTTCTCTGATGTAGAATAAGGAGAGTAAACACCTGGCAAGGTGGCCACCACTAGCGTGGCATCCTTTATAGGATCTGGATGTAAGATCTCCAAATCCCTCTCAGCACAGTGTTCTTGGCAATCACTTCAAAATGATATAAAACCCATTTAGTATCTGATTTAGAGCACACAAAGGAGATTAGAGGGAATGAAGAGTAGGATGTAGTTCAGAGAACAGCCTCTGGAGCCAGAGTCCTAAGTTTAAACTCCATCTGCCACTTACTGTCATTGTAACCTTAGACAAGCCCTTAGCCTCTCTGAGCCTCTGTTTCCTCATCTACAAAATAGGGATAATAACAGTATCCATCTCATGGTGAGGATTCTATGGGTTAATATATGTAAAGCTCTTAGTGACTGGCACACAGTCGGCACTTAACTTTTAGCTCTGATCATTAAAGTTGTAATAAATGTATGTCTCTCAAAGCTAAAGATCTAAATCAAATCAAAATATTATTTATCTATTATATTTGTATTATATATATATCATTTACATAGGACACATGTTTTATATTTAAATATTTATAGTTCTATATTAAAATGTGTTGAAATTGTGCCAAAAGCTTTTGAATAAATAGAATCCTTTATTTATTTATTTTTGTTGGTATGTGCCCCTAGCAGGAACAGAACCCGGGACTCTCTGGTCCACAGGCCGATGCTCCAACTGCTGAGCCAAACCAGCCAGGGCCTTTATTTTTAATAAGTTTCCCTATATCAATGACAAGAGTTAGTATTTCCATAACAGTTTCATCTTTATTGTAGGACATTTCTTTCATGACTTCTCTTTTTCTTAGCCTATTTAATGAATTAGAACCTTTTTGGTTAAAATTAATTCCCAGTCATTGGTTTACGTATGAAAGTTTTGTAGAATTCTTGTTTTAGAGTGATTGGATCTGAAAAAGAAAAACCAAAATTAAGTACTGTGCTGTTCAAACGAGGGGAGGGAGAAGTTCAGACTTCTTACTGACCTTTCCAGGCATCATTCTGTTGCCTAGCTTAGAATACTACTGTGGATGAACTGATAGATCCTTAATCCTATTAATATAAAGGTGACTTTGTTTGGGATTACCTGGCTGTATAGTCAGGCAGAGTAGTTTCATCTAAAGGAAGAATGCATAAAAGGGAGAAGATAGTTACATGTACTGTGAGTGAGAATTTTTAGGTAATATCACTTGAATATTTTGTAATTTTAAGAGTTTTAAAAATCTATTATTTTCATCTTGGAAGAATTAATTGGCTATTCTCTTACTGATTTTGGCCTATTGTAATTACTGTATTTTATTCCCTTAGCCTTCCATATAGCCTGGGAAAAATGACAGATCTTGTAGCCGTTTGGGATGTTGCTTTAAGTGACGGAGTCCATAAGATTGAATTTGAACATGGGACCACATCTGGAAAACGAGTGGTATATGTAGATGGCAAGGTAGGAACAAAACATGTGACTTTGTAAATATGGTATACAGAGAAGGTTGATTTTGTTAATGTACATTCTTCATTCAGGCTTTTCTCTTACTAAAGTAGTTATCTTTATATTTTGACCTGTATCATTTTGCTGTACAAAGTGATCTTATCATAGTTATAGAATTCATAGACTAGCATCTAATATTTAAACTTAAAATGCCTTTATATTCTAAAACCTTTGCATCACAAATTAATATTACATCTAACTAGCATTGTCATTTTCTCACTTTAATTATATTATTTGTAAAATTAAATATTAAACTTTCTTCCACATGTGTGTTTTCAACTCTTCTATTTTATTACTTAGGAAGCGATAAGAAAAGAATGGATGTTCAAATTAGTGGGCAAAGAAACCTTCTGTGTGGGAGCTGCAAAGGCAAAAGCAACCATAAATATAGATGCTGTCAGTGGTTTTGCTTATGAATATACTCTGGAAATTAATGGGAAAAGTCTCAAGAAGTATATGGAGAACAGATCAAAAACCACCAATACTTGGGTATTACATTTGGATGGTGAGGACGTTAGAGTTGTGTTGGGTAAGTGATTGCTGTTTCTGCAGAATTTATTGGCTTTTTGGTTTTGCTTTTGTTAATCTTCCTCCAAGGATATTTCTTCCATTGATTTTTAGAGGGGGGTGGGGAGAAACATCAATATGAGAGAGACACATTAATTGCTTGCCTCCCACACACACCCCAACCAGGTCCAGGGATTGAACCTGAAACCCAGGTATGTGCCCTTGACTGGAAATCAAACTGGCGACCCTTTAGTGTGCAGGCCGACACTCTAACCACTGAGCCTCTCCGGCCAGGGCATTTATTGGCTTTTTATGGTAGTTATTTAATTAGCCTCTCTAACTGTTCAGGCCTTTATGAGAGCTTTGAATAGAAAAGAATGTAAGAGTGTAAGAGCAGGTGTATTTTTAATGTGTTCTATGTGAATGAAGTATTCATTTAATCGATTGATTTATATATAAATTACAAGAGCCATATTTTATAGTGATCGATTTGAACATTATAACGTTAGGTTTAAAATATATATATATAGGGCCCTGGCCAGTTTGGCTCAGCGGTAGAGTGTCGGCCCATGGACCAGAGAGTCCAGGGTTCAGTTTCCACTAAGAGCATGTACCTCGGTTGCAGTTTGTCCCCAGCCCCGGTTGGGGTCATGTAGATGTCAACCACTCAATGTGTCTCTCACATGAATGTTTCTCTCTCTCTCTTCTTCCCTCTCTCCCTCCTGCTCTATCTGAAGATAAATGCAAAAATGTCCTCGAGTGAGGATAAAATAATAATAGTAATAAATAAATGTGTGTGTGTGTGTGTGTGTGTGTGTGTGTGTGTTGGGCCCTGGCCAGGTAGCTCACTTTGTTAGAGTATCGTCTTGATGCGCCAAGGTTATGGGTTTGATCCCTGGTCAGGGCACATGCAAGAGTCAACCAATGAATGCATAAATAAATAGAACAAAAAATCAGTGTCGTCCTCTCTCTCTCTCCTATCCTCTCTCTCTAAAATCAATAAATAAAATTTTTAAAAAAGAAATATTGATATAGACATTTGTTATTATTTTATATTTCACTTTAAAAGCATGTATAAGGCAGTTGGAAATTTAAGTTTCATCAGTAAGAAGGGAATCTTTCTGTAGGTGGTAATATGGTTAGGACTGCAGCAGATCAAAATTGTCAGAATCCAGATCAAGTAGATAAAAAAATAAAAGGCCCTAGCCAGGGCTCAGTTGGTTGGAGCGTCATCCTGTGCACCAAGAAGCTGAGGGCTCAATTCCATGTCAGGACACATACCCAAGTTTTGGGTTCCATCCCCGGTCATGGCTCATGCAGGAGGCAATTGATTGATGTTTCTCTCTCAATATATATATATATTAACTGAAAAAACAAAAAAAAACATTATTTGTGGTCATTATAGTTACTCATGGGCAAGGAATGGACTTATATAGAGTCTTGGAGTGAAAGTTACCTACATATTTATTATTTGACAAAGTTCAAATAACTATTGTATGACTTTCTCAATTTTACATTGAAAAGTTAGAACAAAGAAAAATCTCTTAACTAAAACAGTACTATGTACTGAGAGGCCATATTCTGTGCCATACACTATGCCGGGCATTTTACATAAATTATTTCTAATTCTTATAGCAGTATGCAAGAAAAATGGTATCATCTTCATTTTACCCATGAGGAAGCTGAGGCTAATTGAGACTCAGAGTGAATGAAAGACTTGCCAAATGAAACTGCCAATGAATCGCGGAGCTGGGATTTGAACCCAGAGCTCTCTGACCTCAAAGATCCTGTACCTTCTTTTTCACCACCCAAAAGATGAGAGGCACACAAAGGGCCTGAAAATAGCACTGGTCAGCACTGTTGGGTCAGGTAGTCGCCACACCACTGAACACCGTGGGAGGAAAATAAAGACAGCAAGAGCAAAGTACTATTATGCTAAAACTTCTCCTTCTGTTCTGAAACCTTGCGAATACCTGCTCAGGTAGACTCCCCACTGTTGGTCATCTGGGTCGAGGGAATCTGCAGGTAGGCAGAGAGGACAGGCTCCAAGGTGAATATGCTCCAGTTCCTATGATTCACTAAATCTGTTTCTGAGCTGTAACTGATTTGATGCTTTATCAGATCAATATGTTCTTTATAACATATTTTTGAATAGGTGATATATAATTCAGAAATCAAAATGATATAAAAAGATACATTGAGAAGTCTTGCTTCCACGCCTGTTCCCATCCACCCAATTTACCCCATAAAGATGGCCATTTTTAAAATTTTGTTTGTTTATTTTGTTCATTATGTTTCACAAATAAGTGAAATCATATGGTACTTGTCTTTCTCTGACTGGCTTATTTCACTTAACATAATGCTCTCCAGGTCCATCAGTGCTGTTGCAAAAGGTAAGATTTCCTTTCTATTTATAGCTGAGTAATATTACATTGTGTAAATGTACCACAGCTTTTTTTACCCACTCATCTACTGATGGGCACTTGGGCTGCTTCCAAATCTTGGCTATTGGAAATAACACTGCAGTGAACATAGGGGTGCATATATTCTTTTGAATCAGTGTTTCAGGTTTCTTCGACTATCTTCCCAGAAGTGGAATTGCTGGGTCATAAGGCAGTTCCATTTTTAATTTTTTGAGGTGTCTTCATACTGCTTTCCACAGTGGCTGTACCAATCTGCATTCCCATCAACAGTGCACGAGGGTTCCCTTTTCTCCACATCCTCCCCAACACTTGTTGTTTGTTGATCTATCGATGATAGCCATTCTGACAGGTGATATCTCCTTGTGGTTTTAATTTGCATTTCTCTGATGATTAGTGACATTGAGCATCTTTTCATATATCTTTTGGCCATCTGTATGACCTCTTTGAAGAAGTGTGTATTCAGGTCCTTTGCCCGTTTTTAAATTGGATTGTTCATTTTTCTGCTGTTCACTTGTACATGTTCTTTATAATTTTTGGATATTAACCCCTTATCAGATGCATCATTGGTGAATATCTTCTATTCAGTGGGTTGTTTTTTCATTTTGTTGATTGTTTCCTTTGATGTGCAAAAGCTTTTGAATTTGATGTCGTCCCATTTTATTTATTTTTTCTTTTGTTTTCCTTACCTGAGAAGATATATTAGAAAAAATATTGCTCTGAGAAATGTCTGAGTTAGGATAGAAATTTAATAGAGTCCTTCTAGTGTTTCTTTATTCAGATTCAAGCAAATATGAATATTTTATTACTTCCTTATTATGTAAATCATGTTTATTATTGATTTATTCTGAAGATCCTTTTATAGCAATAAAGAATATTCTTATACTTTTTTATAGCTGCAGAGTACATTTAAATAGTAAATAAAATAGTTTAACTCATTCCCAACTGATGGGCACTTGGGCTGTTTCTACACTGTTGCTGTGAGTAGCGGTATTGAAAGACTTTGTTCACATGCCTCTTGGAATATAGCACAGATTACTTTCGGACCAGTTCCCAGAAGAGGGAAAGTAGGATTGCTGGGTCAGAGAATAACTGCACTTGTCATCTTAGATTTTGTCCAGTTGCACTCCTTGATGCTTTTTACCATTGTTTACCACTACCTGTTTCCCCACAGGTTCTCGAGACAACAGAGCGTGTTGTTGGATTATTTTATAGTATTTCAGTGTTATTTTGCCTTTCTCAAAATTGAGTGAGGTTGAACTTCTTCTCACATGTTTAAGGCCCTTTTGAGTTTCTTTTCTAGTCATGTTCATGTCCCTTGACTCGCTTTTTGGAGGGTTGTTAGTCTTTTTCTCCTTGATTGCGAAGGAGTCCTTATATTACTAAGATTAGCCCTCTGTGCTGTTTGTTTTGAACATTTTCCCCGACTTTGTCATTTATTGTATGACTTTGCTTATGTGTGTGCATGGTTTTGTTTAATCATGCAGAAACCCTTTTTACTTTTATGTAGTCAAATTTATTCCATGTTTTTTTTTTTACGGCTTCTGGATCAGGTGTTCTTCAGAGGCACGTTAATAACAGCTGTTACAGAAACTCTGAGCACATGCACGTGTGCAGTCGGCATACTGAGTAAAACTCCAGTTTCCACCACATTGTGGTGTATTTTAGCCCTGTGTGATCTAACCATGTGTTGGGACAAGCCGGGTTTCCCTGCTTCTGTGGCTGTAGATGCTTCCTACTCAGGCTCCCCAGGCCCCTCTGCCTTGCTCTTTCTCCCTCTAGCCCCACTCAAAGTCCTTTCTCCACTCAATGAGGCTCCCATCTCGAGGTGTGGAGAGAAAAGAATCCCCTTTAGACCATGTTCCAAAGTAGATGGCCTGCCAGTGTCAAGTCAGATTGGCAACTCAGCCTTGACTCCAGACAAGTGATTTAGGAGACCCCTGGACTCCTGCTCGCACAGGTCATGCACCTCTCTTGTCTTCATTATTCTCAAAGCTCACCTTCTGGTTGCTTGATGAGTGCAGATTTCTCTCCTGCCACACGCCAGGACACTAACCTTCACAGTGGGTTTGGGGAGTCCTCTCCCCAAAAGGCACGTGCGCATACATACACCTGCCTCCTGCAAGGGCGCTATGGCCGCTTAACAGGCTCAGGTGTATCGCGGCAGCGTCTGCTCTATTGTGTCAGCACTGTACTTAGCACAGTCCACCAGTATACCTGTATTTTTTCTTATGATCCAACCATTTTTCCCTAAAGTGAAACCATTACAAAAACAAGAAGAGATTATTGTACTATCTAGTAAGAAACTTAAGGCTAAATTTCTAAACCTGACAAGCTATCCTGTATGAACCTGGTGGCAGCTTTTTATGGTGGTCTTTTTTTTTAATCCTCTCCTGAGGACATTTTCACTTTTTTTTTTTTTTTAAGAGAGAGAGAAACATCGATTGGTTGCCTCCCATACGTGCCCCAACCAGTGAGTGCAAACTAGGCATGTGGCGCTGGCCGATTTTGCTCAGTGGTTAGAGCATCGGCCCGCGGACCAGAGAGGCCAGGTTCAGTTCCCGCTAAGGGCACGTACCTCGTTTGCAGTTTGTCCCCGGCCCCTGTTGGGGTCATGTGGGCAACAACCACTCGATCTCTCTCTGTCACACATCGATGTTTCTCTCCCTCATCTCCTCCCTCTCCCCCTCCTGCTCTATCTGAAGATACATGCAAAAATGTCCTTGGGTGAGAATTAAAAAAAAAAACTAGGCCATGTGCCCCAACTGGGACTCGAACCTGCCACCTTTTGGTGTATGGGAAGACACTCCAACCAACTGAGCCACATCTGCCTGTGCTTGGTGGTCTTTTAATGCCATAGTCCAGCTGAGTCAGTGTGAGAGAAAGGGGTAATTATTTAGTCACTGATATTAAAGGCTGTTCATGTGGAAAAGTCCCTCTTCACATTCATTTGTGTGCATCTTCCTTTCAAGATTGTGCTTCAGTGTTTATTTTGTTGAACAAGTCTTCATCAATTTGGATTGGGACCATGATTTTTCTCTTAAGTTTGTTTCCTTTTGATTTTGTCTGTGAACAAAGAATAATCAGTTTCTTCAAATACAGAAGAAATTCAAAGCTGTGAAAAGTTAATGGACTTTTAGGAATCCAGTGTATCAAACCTTTCTAAAAATAATAGAGTTAAGTTTATCTTTCAATCATAGATTATAATTTTTTTAATTTGTTACTTTTACAGAAAAAGACACTATGGATGTATGGTGCAATGGTAGAAAAATGGAGACAGCAGTAAGTTGGCCTTCTTATTACTCTTCGCACCATGTGTGTGAGTTACCACTGAAATGTTGCTACGTTTCCTAATTATGAAGATTTTATAATTAACCCCAAGGTCCTCTTAGTTGAAAACAAAAAAAGAGATGAATTACTCCGGACTCCAAAATTTGAAAACCTTTCCCAGAAAGTACCTGGGGCAGCAATTATTTGGAACCAATTTACATTTTTTTGTTGTTCTTTTATCCTCACTCGAGGTCATTTTTGCACTTATCTTCAGTTAGAGCAGGAGGGAGAAAGGGAGGAATACAGAGAAACATCAATGTGAGAAAGAGACACCGAGTGGTTGTCACCCACATGACCCCATGAGGGCGGGGGACAAACTGCAACGGAGGTACGTGCTCTTAGTGGGAACCGAACCCAGGACTCTCTGGTCCGCGGGCTGACGCTCTAACCGCTGAGCCAAACAGGCCAGGGCGGAAACAATTTACATTGTAAGTTTGCACCAACCTCACACTCTTTTCCTGGCCCAGGCTCTGTCCTAAAAAGAGATCCCCCATTAGAAAATCCCCCTCCCCCAAAAGTTGCGTACTCCCACTTTTATCTATATTAAAGTGGTGCTTTATACCACTGCTTCTCAACCTGCATGCATTGAAATCACTTGGATCTTGTTAAAATTCAAATTTTAACATTTCCTCAGGTGATGCCAGTGCTGTAGGTCACACTTTGAATAGGAGGCTTTACACCATACACTCAAAACAGATGGTACTTTTCTAAAAGCAAAGTTTTTGAAAAAGAAACGATGCACACAATGTCAGATGCTGACATAAAGGCAGACAGGGAAGGGCACACAACCCCCAGAAAACAAGTGGAATTTATAGACAGTTCCAAAAAGCTACCCACTCACCGTGGCCAAGCAGGATGAGATCCCCACCTAAGCCCCGTGTGTTTGGCTCTTATTATCAGCTGCTTGCACTGTTAAAGCTGTGGGTGGGATGAATATAAGGTTGAATTCCAAGCTGGAATGAAATAATAATGGTGTATATAGAATTGCATTCCTGAATCCTATATAATTTTATTAACCAATGTCTTCCAATAGATTCAATTAAAAAAAAAAAGAAAGAAGAAAGAAATAATAGTGGTGTAGTATTCGCAGCACAGAGAGGGAGTGGAAGCAGGGGAGTGTGGGACTAGGACCTGAAATCACAGGGTGGAAATTGCCATGTTATTGGGTCAACTGGCAAACGGAACATCTGCCTTTCCTGCTGGCTTCAGGTGCTCCAGGGCTAGAGAATGAGATGCTCTCTTCTCTAGTCACAGTTTTAGCTAGTTGTACGATAGTACTTACTCCATTATCTCCTCTGTCTAGCATGGTATAGGGAGGTGAGAAGAGGTGCCTGGTCTGGGATGAACTTCTTCAGACTGCCCAGGACCTGCTGGGTCTTGTAGCTGTCTGTTTCTGAGGAAGCGCCCAGGCCAGACATCAAATTACAAAGATGAATGCTTTTCTGTTTCTTCATCCTGGTATTAATTCTTGAGGGGAATTTAACCAGGACTCCCTCAAAACTGATCCTCAGAGCTTGAGCCACTTTCCAAGTTCAGTCCACCGATGAAGACTTCTTTTATGCAGAGAGGCTTGGAGAGCTCTTCAGTATTGTACAACTCCTTTTGAAGCAGGTTGGGTACCATTAACGTGAATTGGGTACCTACTGCGTGCCCGCACCACACCAGGTGCTCCTTCCTGCCTTATTTCCTACCCTGGAATTCTCCAGATGGAGCATAAGCAGTTTGGAACCACACTCCCTCTCACCCTCAAGGAATTCTCCAGTGCAAATGTAAAGAGAACGTTGTTTCATGATATTAAGAATGTGGTTGTAGCCCTGGCCGGTTTGGCTCAGCGGTTAGAGCGTCGACCTGCGGTCCGGAGAGACCCGGGTTCGGTTCCCGCTAAGGGCATGTGCCTCGGTTGCAGTTTGTCCCCGGCCCTGGTTGGTCGTGCGGGTGGCAACCACTCGATGTGTCCCTTTCACATCAATGTTTCTCTCTCTCTCTCTCTTCCTCTCTCTCCCTCCCACTCTATCTGTGCAAAAAATGGAAAAAAATGTCCTCGGGTGAGGATAAATAAAAAAATTAAAAAAAAAAGAATGTGGTTGTAGCCCTGGCCGGTTAGAGCGTCAGCCTGCGGTTCATAGAGACCCGGGTTCGGTTCCCGCTAGGAGCACGTACCTCAGTTGCAGTTTGTTCCCGGCCCCGGTTGGGTTGTGTGGGTGGCAGCCACTCGATGTGTCCCTTTCAATCGATGTTTCTCTCTCTCCATCCCACTCTATCTGAACAAAAAATGGGGGAAAAAAAATGTCCTTGGGTGAGGATAAAAAAAAAATGTAAATAAGTAAAAAGTTGAAAATAGTGTTCATCACAGTGTCTCTGTTTCTCAATAATTGACAGGAAACCACAAGTGTGTGGACAATGGCTGTTTATGACCAGTTGCCTCTTCATTGTAACTACGGCCCAGTTTGCAGGACAATTTTGGCAGCTCTGTGTCCAGGCAGCCTTCCCAGTGCTGTGCACACCTGCTTTTGTCGCCTCTGAGTTACAGCTTTTTTTCTCCTTTTCCTTTTCATCTCCCAGCATCATGACCAAGATTATGTATGTCAAATTGCCAAGAAGTTACTTAGAGGGATTGTTTTACTAAACCATTGCCCTGCCCTATAAATTGAATTTTACAGAAGTATGACTTGCAGGCATTTTTCAAGGCTCAATATAAAAAAGAATGAACATGCCCTGGCTGATTTGGCTCAGCGGTTAGAGCATCGGCCAGTGGACCAAAGAGTCACAGGTTCAATTCTAGTCAAGGGAACATACGTAGGTTGCAGCTCAGCCCGCAGCTCGGCCCCCAGCCCTGGTCAAGTCGTGTAGGAGGCAACCAGTCAGTGTGTCTCTCTCACATCAATGTTTCTCTCTCTCTCTCTCTCTGTCTCCCCCCACCCCCATCTGAAGATAAATGGAAAAATATCCTGGGGTGAGGATTTTTTAAAAAAAAGAAAAAAAGTGAACACACTACACTCCAGGACCAGACCTGGTCCTTTTGGAAGTGTTCATTATACCTCCCTTAAGAGCTTTGACCAAATTCTCTCAGAGCTAAGAAAATGATGCTTCTTTCCCTGACATACCTGCACTCTCTTTGGTTAGATAATGTTAGTTATTGGGTCTTGCTCTGTTTGCTTTGGCTGCCAGGAAGCTCTTGCAGCCAAGTTTCAAGTCTGACTGGGGTGTCTTTGCTTTCTGACATAATTCATTCTTACCCGCTAATCCTCTTCTTCCTTATTTCTCTGGGTCCCTCTCTTTTTACTCCAGATCACTACACTATTAAATAGAAATATGAGCCACAAATATGAGCTTCGATTGTAACCTTTCTATTAGCCATAATGTTCTAAGGTGAAGTTTATATTTGATTTAAATCAGTTTATCAAAATAGTATTATTTAACATGTAATCAATATAAAAAGTTTTTAGTGAGTTATTTTACATTCTTTGTTTCATACTAAGTATTCCAAATTCAGTGTATATTTTACACTTAAACAGCGTATCTTGTGTCAGACTTACCACATTTCAAGTGCTTGATTTTGCTACACATGGCTAGTGGCTACTGTCCTGGACAAAGCAAGTCTAGATTTAGTAGTGTTTGACTTTATGTTGTCTGTATCTTATTGTAAAGCCGCTTTATACCCCGAGGAATCAGATCTTCAGAGTGGTTAAGAACACTCCATCCCTTACTGAGTAGGGTCTTTTGAAGTTATTTAACCACTGTGTGCCTCAATTTCTTCATCTATAGGAGGAGGATCCAATGAAATAATGCATGTAAACTGTTCTTGGTATAGAATAAATAACTAAAAAAATGTGTGCTATCATGTTTATCTTTTTTTAATCCTCACCTGAGGATATATTTTTTCATTGAGTCTAGAAAGAGAGGAGGGGAGAGAGAGAGAAACATTGATGTGAGAGAGAAATATCGATAAATTGCCTCCCATATGCACCCCAACCAGGTCAAACCCACAACCTGAGCATAATTCATTCTGTACCCTGACCGGGAATTGAACCCATGACACCCTTTGGTGCATGGGACAATGCTCTAACCAATTGAGCCATATGGGCCAGGGCTCATGTTTATCATTCTTACTTTTGAAAATATTTATATGCCTGCATAGTATATGTAATAGACAGAGCCATGAGGTGCATGGTTATTGGGTTTTTTTCCCTCTGAAATTTAAGATTCTTAGTGTGTAGGGAGTACAAATAAGAAACTTTCCATTCACAGCAGAATATAAAAACATCTGAATACAAGTTTCTAAGTTTAATTTTGCAAAGCTTAACATTTAATATGTACTTCATTTTACCAACCTTTTAGATGGTGATAGTGCTCTAGACAAAGATACATGTTTCTGAACACTAACTCCTCCTTCTTTTGTTGGCCTAGGGTGAGTTTGTAGATGATGGGACTGAGACGCACTTCAGTATTGGGAACCACGACTGTTACATAAAGGCTGTCAGTAGTGGAAAGCGGAAAGAAGGGATTATTCATACTCTCATTGTGGATAACAGGGAAATCCCGGAGATTTCTTGAATGAATTCATGTTAATAAACATTAATCTTAAGAAGTAACTATCAGGACTTTTAAATTACTGTGGTAATTAAATATGTTCAAAATGTACTTCTCAGTACATTTAGTCTGCCACGTTTTTATGTTTTTAGTTACTTGAAACTGTATGAGTCAGGGAAAAAATTATACACAATAATAAAAACCTGCAATTTATTTTGTAAATAATGTAAAAAATTTTTCAAAGCAAAATGGAAAATAAAATATGGATCAAAATCACTAATGTTTTATGAGAGGAACTTTTACTATAATAAACACTGTAAAATTGGTGCTGCCTGATGTGTTTCTATAAATGGATGTCTTCATATATTTCTAACTTATGCAGATAGGTTGTCTCTGTAGCTTAAAGTCATTGGTAAGTAAGGACATAGTTATTAGTTTAATGAGAGAAAATGAGAAATGTTCTATATGGAAACTTAATTTTTTTTTTTTTTCATCCTCACCCAAGGACATTTTTCCATTTCTTGTTCAGACAGAGTGAGAGGGAAAGAAAGGAAGAGAGAGAGAAACATCAATGTAAAAGGGACACATCGAGTGGCTGCCTCCCGCACGGCCCAACGAGGGCCGGGGACAAACTGCAACCAAGGCACATGCCCTTAGCGGGAACCGAACCCAGGTCTCTCTGGACAGCAGGCCAAAGCTCTAACTGCTGAGCCAAAACGGCCAGGGCTGGAAACGTAATATTAAGGAAATGTCAAATAGTGTCACATATGCAGCGGTAGGCAAAAGTAGGTTTATAGTTGTGAGTACAAATGTACAATAAATGGACGAGTCTCCCAGTCATCCCTTCAACACGGTATCTGTCTTCTCTAATGCATGCTGAGGGCAGGATGCATACTACATACTATTATATCCTCCAGGACCTAACATGCCCCTCACAGATGGTGGGCAGTGAGATTCACATTACTGAAGCTCAGAAAAGTCTGGGCTGGAGATATACGTAGGCATCATCAGCACATACAGGCATACCTCAGAGATATTGTGGATTCGGTTCCAGACTACTGCAATAAAGTGATTAATATGAATTCTTTTTTTCCCCAGAGCATGTAAATGATGTTTATGCTGTCGTCTTTAACTGTGCAATAGCATTATGTCTAAAAAAAAAAACCCAAAACAATGTACGTATCTTTTTGTTTTTTAATATTTTGTCTTTATTGATTTTAGAGAGAGAGGAAGGGAAAGGGAGAGATAGAAACATTGATGAGAGAGAACATGGACTGGCTGCCTCTCGCATGCCCCCCACTGGGGATCAGGCCCACAACCTGGGCATGTACCCTGACTAGGAATCGAACTGGCAACCTCTTGGTGCATGGGTTGACGCTCAACCACTGAGCCACACCAGCCAGGCAACAATGTACGTATCTTAATTAAGAAATACTTGATTGCTAAAAAATGCTAACCATCATCTGAGCCTATTGGAAAAGTGGGACCAACAAACTTGCCTGATGCCGGGTTGCCACAAACCTTCAGTCTGTAAAAATGCAATATCTGCAAAGCACAATAAAGTGAAGCACAATAAAATGAGGAATGCCTGTAGAGAAGATGTAAAGCAATGGGAATGGATAATATCAACTAGGAAACTTAGAGGGAAAAAGGGAGCCTATAATTAAACCCCGAAGAGCCACTGCATTTGAGACGGTGCTAAGGGCAAGAGAGGTCTTCATTAGTTAAAGAAGCCTTGAAGCTTTCAAACAAAAGACAGACATATTTGATTATTTAGAAATTTAAAAGTTACATATGGTAAAAAATGCCATAAACAAAGCCAATATACAAACAATATATTTGGGGACTATATTTGTAATGTAGAGGACAAGAGTCACAAATACATAAATATGCAAGCATATGAGACAGGACAACATGAATGGTCGTAAAGAAATAACCAACGATAGAAACAGACTCAGAGGGGCTCCAGATTAAGAGCTCATTAGAGGCAGAGCTATGTTTAAAATGTTCAAGGTAATAAAAGACAACTCTGACAATTTCAGAGGAAACAGAAAAAAACTTTTAAAAGAGCAGAATTTCTTTTTAAATGAAAGCTGGTATAGTGATAATATCAGTTCAAGTTGACTTTAAGGCGAAAAAAAAAAAAGGCATTACCAGAACTACATAACACTTAAAAATAATTTTTAAGTAGTCCAATTCACCAAAGATATAAATCATCCGTAAAAAATTTTTTTTCAATCTTTGTTCTTCCTGACTTTATCTTGAGGCTGCAAATCTGACTTTTTACACACTGACTCTGAGCCACAGCGGGAAAGCCTCCCTCACAGAAGTGCATTTCCTTTCCTTTCTGCTCGCAGACCAGGCAGCCGAGAGGAACAAGTGTGGATTTCTCACAGGGCCTTACTAAAAGTCCACTAGACGATTTCACCACCAACATCCCAGTATGTTTTTAATCCAGCCCTAAAGTGCTAGCCTCTATGAACAGGTGGCCGAAATCCCGGGATGCGGCACCTTCCCACCTGCTTTGTGCTATGGAATGATCACAATTTCCTAACTGGGCATGTGGAGTGGGGGTGGGGATCCTTACTGTTCCTCATCCACCTCAAGTCAACTCACATCCCCATTTTAGGACTGGCAACTTGCAATATCTTACTTCTGGAAACCAGTTTTTATCTTCATTGGTGTAAATTAGTCAGCTTGTACTTCTATGATAAAATCCATAGACTGTATTGATGAAACAGGACATTTACTTCTCACAGTCTGGAGGCAGAGAAGTCCAAGATCAAGACCCTGATTAGGTTCCCCAGTGACAGCCCACCCCCTCGCTTGCAGAGAGAGGCCATCTGTGTCTTCACATGGCGGAGAGCAATTATCTCCAAATTTGTATGCAGCTAGTAATATATTGCCTCAAACTTTTATAAAACAAACATTGACATAACTAGAATTGGCAAATCCAAAATCATACTGGGATTTTTAACTTATCTCTCTCATAAATGCTAGGCAAAAACTCGGTAAAGATATGTACTCTTAACACAATGAGCAGAATTGATCTAATGAACATATGTAACAATCTAATGGCAGATAATGGATTTTTTCATGTGTACACTGAACATTTATAATACTTGACCATACTATGAGTCATAAAAACAATTCCCATAAATTTGGAAGAACTGAAATCATACAGATGTTCTCTGAATGCCATGCAATCTAGAAATCAACAAAACGGTAATGAGAAAACCCATGACTATTTGGAAATTAATAAATGTAATTCTAAATAACCAGTAGATCATGAAGAAACCAATATGGGAATAAAGTATTTTGTACTGAATGGTAATGACGACAATATCAAAACTTATGAGATGCAGACAAAGATTGTAATTATAGATTATTATTATTGATCAGCTAAGCAAACATTCAATTGGAGGGGAGGAATAACAAATTAAACACAAAGTAGAAGGAAGGAAATAATAAGGATAAAAGAAGAATTAAAAACAAACATACAACAGAGGATCAAAAAAGCTGGAAGCTGATTCTTTGTAAAGACCAATGCAATTGGAAAACCTCTAGTGAGACTAATTTAAAAAATAAAGAAGGCACTAACCAATACCAGAATGAAAAAGAAGACATCACTATCAATCCTGCAACATTAATATACTCTTAACACATGATTTATAAAAATAAATTTGAAGCCCTAGCTGGTTTTGCCCAGCAGTTAGAGCGTCGACCTGTTGTCCAGGGAGACCCAGGTTCAGTTCCTGCTGAGGGCATATGCCTCAGTTGCAATTTGTCCCCGGCCCCAGGTGGGGTTGTGTGGGTGGCAACCAGTCGATGTGTCTCTTACATCAATGTTTCTCTCTCTCTCTTCCTCCCCCCCAACTCTATCTGAAGATAAATGTAAAATTGTCCTTGGGTGATGATAAAAAAAATTTGAGCCCTGGCCGGTATTGCTCAGCAGTTAGAGCATCAGCCTGCGGTCCAGAGAGACCCGGGTTCGGTTCCCGCTAAGGGCATGTACCTTGGTTGTAGTTTGTCCCCGGCCCTGGTTGGGTCGTGTGGGTGGCAATGACTCAGTGTGTCCCTTTCACATCGATGTTTGTCTCTCTCTTCCTCCCACTCTAGCCGAACAAAAAATGGAAAAATGTCCTCGGGTGAGGATTTAAAAAAAATTGAATTATGTAGATGAAATGGACACATTCCTGGAAAATCAGAACTCTTTAAAACAAACACAAGATATAAAAATCTAAATATCCCTCTAACTAGTGAAAAAATTACATCTATATCTCAAAGAACATGTCAGGTCACTGGCAAAATCTATCAAACTTTTAAGTAAGAATAATATCAATCTTACTTGTATTATAAGGTCACTAAAACTTTTTTTTTATCCTCAACCAAGGACATTTTTTCTTTGTTTTTTGTTCAGATAGAGTGGGAAGGAGAGAGAGGAAGAGAAAGAGAGAGAGAAACATCGATGTGAAAGGGACACATAGAGCAGCTGCCTCCTGAACCACCCAACCAGGGCCAGGGACAAACTGCAACCAAGATACGTGGCCTTAGCGGGAACCGAACTCAGGTCTCTCTGGACCGCAGGCCAACGCTCTAACCACTGAGCAAAACTGGCCAGGGCTTAATTTTTTTTTCTTTATTGATTTTAGAGAGGAAGTAAGGAGAGAGAGATAGAAACATCGATGAGAGAGAACATCAATTGGCTGCCTCCTGCATGCTCCCGACAGGATTTGGCCCACAACCTGGGCATGTGTCCTGACTGGGAATCTAACCAACCGGTGACCTCTTGGTGCATGGGTCAATGCTCAACCACTGAGCCACACCAGCCGGACTATATTATAAGGTCACTAAAACCTTGACAACAAAACCTGACACAGACCTTAAAAGAAACTTAAGGGCCAATCCCATTGATGAAAATAGATGGAAAAATCCCAAATAAAATATTGGCAATCAAACCCAGCAATATATAAAAAAGATAATAATACATCACAATCAAGTTGCTCATTCCAGGAATGTACACTTGGTTTAATATTTGCATAATAATATAACTCACCAAATGAAAAAAAAGTGGTCATTTTAATATGTAAGAAAAATAACTTCATAAAATTAAACATCCTTTCATGATTTTTTTTTAAACTTACTATTACCAGTTTATTATAAAGGTTACAAATGAACATAATGATGAAGAGGTCCCCAGAGCAAGGTCCCGAGCTTCTGTTGCCTGTGGAGTTGGGGTGTGCCAACGCCTGGTATGTGCATGTTGTTTACCAATCCAGAAGCTCCCTTCCATGATTTAAAAAAAAAAATCCCTTA